TGCAGTAAAAAGTATTTGCCATGTTCAAAAATTTCACTTGAAATAAATTGCTGAAAGGCGTCTGCTTTAAAACTTCGTTGACAGAATTTTTGTACCTTGATCCAAAACAGAATTGCTACCGTCAAATGGGGTAAAAAAAGATGGTTTTGAGCATTTTTTGTTAATAACTTCTTACCATGAAACCTTTCATAAACAAGTTTGGGCTCATTTTAAAGGTCTTTGCAAGGACTATTGTATGGCAGCTCCAAAAAAATTCCATATGCCATTTGTAAGGTGCTAGACGTAATATAAAAGACTCCTGAATTAATCTGGAAATGGGGTAAAAAGGGACACTTGAAATAAAACTCAATTTTAAACATTTGAAGCATATAGACTGTACTCATCTATTACTAACAGTACTCTGAAGTCCTCCTCTTCCTTTGTAGATGATGTAAATGTAGAATAAATGAAATTTTCTGTGATTTTTACTTGTTTTTTTTTCATTGATATAATATTACCTTATCCATACATTAATGTATTATTAATGTGATATTACTGTATCCATTGACATGCCATTGAGCCTTGACAATGACCTTGTCCACTGCAAGCTTCATATCAGCATCCATGTAGCATTTCTTCTGTATCTGTAAGCTTACAGGATGGTTTGTAATTTTGCACAATTTTAATCGAGCTGAGTGATTTCACGATAACAAAAAATATTGTAAAAAACATATCTGAAACAGTAAGGAATATTTTAGTGACAACCATCATATTTTTTGGAGAAATAAATCATAGTTTAGGGTAATTACTTTTTATTCTTTGTTGCCTAGTGCTCAATTCTATCTGTGACATTCTATGCACAATTTTGTGATGACTGATGCAGTAATTTTTTATAAAGTGAAATTTTTTTCACTGAACAAGGTAAATGTAATGAAAATTCTCTGATGTTAATTGATTTTTTCATTAACTGGAGCCTTTGCTAACCAAGGTTCTACTGTAAATGCAATTTTAGGGATGTCCCTTATTACCCCATTTTGCGGAAATGGCCACCATTTTTTCTTGGAATGAGATATGCAAATTCTGTCAATCACGTTTTTAAGCCAACACTAGTGTGCAACTTTTATGCAAGTAAAATTTTTCAATACGACAAATATTTTTTCTGCTACAGACCTTAGCAGAGGTACCACTTTTAAAAAATCTCACTTTTCACACTTTTTCAGGGATTTTTTAGAGGTAATAAATGTATGATTTCTCAACTTGCTTTACCTATGCTTCATAGATAGTAAAAATGTTGAACTTCAAACCACTATTTTTAGTTTTGCAATATTTTAATTAGTTTAGCTGATACAACATTTCTACAATATGTTGGAGGACTGTCCCTTATTGCCCTGCCCGTCCCATTTTACCCCGTTTGATGGTATTTTGGCACAACAGGGTAATAAATGACACTTGCAGCTTGCTTGGTCAAGAATTTTGAAAACAAAGTGCAGTTTCAAGCTCTTGGCCTAAAAATATTTAAAATTTACATTTTTTGCATGGATTTCAATGCTGTTAACATTGAGAAACTTAAAAGTACCTATCTCTAATGCAAGAAATATTTGCTAAAAAATTATAATTTGGATATAAATGTCACTTGAAAACTGAGTGCTCCAAGTTGGAGCGCTCAGTTTTCAAGTGATGTAATATCACATCAATAATATGATAGTGTAATATACAATATACGACAATAAGTGTCGTTCTACATCTACATCATCTGAAAATGAAAAGGAGTTCTTCAGAGTAAAGTTAGTTATGGATGAGTACAGTACCATCAACTGGGGCTACTCAGGACGATTTCAACGTTTTTCATTCATAACTTCTTACCCTGAAACATTTCATAAACAAGTTTAGGCTCATTTCAAAGCTCTTTGCAAGGGCTATCACATGGCTTCTCCAAAAAAATTCCATATGCTATTCGTAAGGTGCCAGAAGCAAAAAAAGAGTGTCCCGAGTAGCCCCGTAGCACGGGGCTACTCGGGACACTTGGAATAAAACTTCATTTTAGAACAAGTAACTTTTCAAAATTTTCAAAATATCGTTTTTCACCATTTTTTCAGGAATTTTTCAAAGCTAGTAAATGTAGTATTTTTGAACTTCCTTTATACTACATAGATAGGAAAAATGTTGACATTTATGCCACTATATTTAGTTTTATGATATTCCAATTTCTTTTGCTACTAGAACAGTTTTACGCCCTGTTGGAGGACTGTCCCTAGTAGCCCTGGTTGACAGTAGTACACTCTGCATGCTTCAAATGATTCAAAATTTAGTTTTATTTTAAGTGTCCTAAATTACCCCGTTTCCAGGGGTAATTTGGGACACTTTTCTTTTGCGTCTGGCACCATACGAGTAGCATATAGAATATTCTCAGAGATGCCGTATGATAGCCCTTGAAAATACCTTTAACATGAGCCCAAATTCATTTGTTGAAATGTTTCATCTTTCATGGTATAAAGTTATCAATAAAAACCACTCAAAATTGTCTCTTATTACCCCGTTTGAAGGTAGGTACTGTATTTTCTCAAAGTGAAATATAAAATAATCCATTTTAGCCTAAAAAACCCAATTTTATTCTAATTATATCTAGGCACAGTAAAAACTACCTATATTTAGGCACAGTACGTAACTAGAAAGTAGTGGCATAGGTACAAGCCTGGCAATTTTTGAGTAGGTATATACACACATAGTACTCATGAGATTTGATACAAATTCTACACTGCTAAGTGCAATTCTCCAAACTATATGGGTATTTTTAGAGTCCAAGACTATACATCAGGGTGGAATTTTAGCAAAGGTGGTTCATGTTTCCACAATCAATCCAGTTTAGTCACTAATCAGTTCTAAAATTCACGATCAATCCAGTAAGAATGAATCCAAGAAAGTATATATATCAAGATTCTAAGTATAAAATAAAAATCTATTATCCAACTTTGAGATATACTATGAAATGTGCAATTGTTAATCTATTACCTCTCCATGCAGAATTTCACCCTGCTATACATACTATCTTGAATTAAGTGGCAAAGTAATACATAGTCGTCTCTTGTCACACTGCTTTTTGCTGCTCTCAAGTCATCCTAGTACAATACGTTGTTGTGGGCAAGGTTGCTCAAACATGCAAATTGTATTTCAATCTCTAAAGACTTCCAAGGTTGCTGGCAGCTAATATTTATGAAATAGACATTTGTGTTTAACCTTTATCTTTTAAAATTGCAGCGAACTAAATTTTATAGTAAGAGGCGCATGATTTTATATGTATATGTTTCTGTGGGGGGCGCTAGAAATTCAATAGGGAGCCAAAGGGGGCGCTAGCCCGAAAAAGTTTGGGAACCACTGTTCTAGTTGATCAAAGTTTATAAAGACATCAATTTTGTGACTTAATACCTAGATTTTTCTATATATGATAATTTAAATGCATTCTTGTTAAATTTTCAACATAAATTTCAGTGTGAAGAGGAGGATGACAACCTGACTGGTGCTGGTGCCTTGCAGCTTGCCTCTGATGGGCATCACGCTAACAAACGAGCTCACCATAATGCTCTAGAGCGCAAACGCAGGGACCACATCAAAGACTCCTTCACATCTCTTAGAGACTGCGTACCTGCTTTACAGGGAGAAAAGGTTCTTTTTAGCTATGCATCAACTGAGTAGCATGAAATCTATTCATAGTTAACATTATATTTTTTAGATATTTTTTCCATCTGTTCATTTGGCACAACTTTATTCAGAAAAAGAAAATATTTGTATTATACTTAGTACTGAATATAAAACTGCATATTTTTCTGGGTTTTCTTGTGTTATGCTTAAGTTTAATGCAAAAGCTCAACTCAAACTGGTAACCTACTTGACTGATTCTGTCCTGTTATATAGGTACTAGGTATGTATATATATGCATGTATCATACATTCATTACGGTATTACTTCTGTGGGTTCTTATTTCATTGCATTTTTAACTTTTAATTTGTCCCTTGTATGGAAACCACCAGTGCATTTGGTAGTAATCCAACATATTGGCTAAATTTATTTTAAATTTTTTTCTCATATTTCCATTTAAATTTCAGTCTAGCCGAGCTCAGATCTTGAAGAAGGCCTCAGACTACATTGATTTTATGAGAAAAAAGATTTCTGCTCACCAAGCTGATATTGAAGACCTCCAAAGACAAAATGAGCTGCTGGAAGCTCAGAGTGAGTTGAGTTCAGATCTTGATTATTAACAAGACGTGATGTTCCTATAGGTATGTTTAATTGTATAGTTAACCCTCTGAAAGTGACTACCATATCGAAGATAGTAAATGGCTAGTCCAGGGCCTAAAAAAAGTTAAGAGATCGTTAGTTCATCAGCCAATCATTGGACGGCCTTTCAAGCAAAATCCACCAATCATAGACAAGAAATAAGAGCATAAGTACTTACGTTCACTTGGCGAGTTTTGAATGTATGGCCCCAGGTTATCGAGTGCCTTATTTGTATCAAAGATTCTGTATTTCCTGCCAAGATATAGCAGTACGGTAGTTTATGTGCTGTTAATGGCAAACAGCGTGCTTTTAGGTTATAGGAATTTGCAGTGTTGGCCAGTCATTGTCTGGCCAACATCTTCGTCTTCCAAATCTTTATTCAAATATTCTTCATGAGTAGTACACAATCAAATATCAATGCTTAAAAAGGATGAAAACATAAAAGGTGACAAGGATTTTAAAGTGAATACCCATAGTATAAGTTGATGAACTTTGTTGGTGACATTGGCAGTATTTATTAATATTAGATTTGCTCACAAAGCTCTTTCAATTTAAGCATTTGTGGAGAGCCGTGTGCTGCTCATCTTCACAATTTGTCTGGGCTGTTGATGTAAAATTGATTGCTCCATTACATAGAAGTTACTACCTATATGCATCCTTTATATTTTTATAAAAATTCTAGTGTGCGATCAACAACTTCACTCAACTTTGTAAAAATATTGCTTATTACGGTATATATAATATAATACACCTAAGTTGAGAATATTTACTTAGCCAAGATGGAACTAATCCAAGCAGTGCACTTACTCAAACCATTTAGTTATGTTAGCAATATCCGCATTTCAGTAATTAACTTTGTTTTTGGCAAATGAGAGTTTTTTAGAAACCAGTTAATTTTAATTCCCTGATCTAGTTTAAAATTGTATTCAATATTTATTATACTCGTATGATGCTGCTGGTATCCCTGATACTTTACTGGTCTTCACATAGGACTCAATTTCGCTCAAAAATAAAGTCTTAAACAACTATCTGCTTTGCCACTGCTGACTGAGTTAACCTCGTGTTGTCAGTGTGCCTGGTGCCAATAATTCCTCTGTTTACAGTCAAGTCCCTGGAGCGGGCGAAATACACGGGAAACTTTGCTGCCATGAGCAGCAATGGCGACCCCTCTAAACAGGGCAGTGATGACTACAGCGGAGCGTCCTCGTCTGAGGAAGCTGATGACGAAGACTTGGATGACCAAGCCTTCCCTCGACGCAAAAGACTCAAGAGTTAGCCCTTGACTCCACCCGTGTGGTTAGGAATAACAAGCAATCAGTTGCAGTGTTCAGCTAACGACTCTTTGCGTTTGAGCAATCAAATTTAAACTTAAGACAATTCCTGCCACCATCTGCGATTTTGCGCCATGTTTTCATCTTTTAAACGTTTCATTTTTAACTGTTCAACGTTTAGTGAACAGTTTATTGACTGTTCAATTTATTTAACGTGTATTTTTAACTGTCCAACGTTTACTGAGCAGTTTTCTGTGTACTTCCATATTTATATGCAGCTTCGCCTCCTATTTACATATATTACATTTACATATTTAAATGCAGAGAGTCTATTTTGAGTTAGCTGCATAAAGAAGGGTTTCATTTTAATGGCATGTGCAAGAGATTATCCTGGTTTTTTTTTAGAATTTTCCCGCGATATTTTTATCACTTTATTTTAGGCTCATGTGATTTTACATCACAGTCCGGTAAAAGCCAATAAAGATTTTAAAACTTACCACTGCTTGTGACAATTTTAAAATGTCCTATAAATGTTTCAATAAACGCATTCACTGTTGTGTTTACTGATATGATTGTTTGACAACAGAGAGCAAATGACCTCCTCTGCTCTGATAATGGAAACTGATGAAAATGTGCATAATGAATAATTCCTTCGATTATCCGAATTCTTTCGAGATGTAACGCAATTGTGTCCAGAGTTAGTTAGCTTCATCACAAGCTGGTTGTTAACATCCATTTATATTCTGTTCCATGTACACACTTGAATGTGTTGTTACCAAATATTTTTAAGCCGGGTCATTCTTTATAACTGGTTTTTAATTGTAATGTAAACGAAAATTGCCAGTAACCTTAAAAATTCAGTATAAATATTGCCCGATTAAGGGTTCTGTTGCTGGTCAGGTTCATATCCAGATTTTTCTGTAACATCAACAGTGCAAAGTTTTCCAACAGTGCCAAAAATTGTTCTGTTTTAATTGAAGCTTGTAAAGAGTATTCTTTGTATATTAGGTTGTATTGCATCTATTGTTTGTTGCGCTGAACGTCTAAGTGCTATATTTATTTTTTTTTGCATTGTTTCTAATTTATAGATATTTTGGGACTGTCCGCTATGTGCTTTGTTTTTATCCGCAATTATTTCAATTAATTCGTGTCTGGTTGTAGCAAAATTTTATCGTCTGAAAAAAAATCTTTCGTCCAAATGACTGCTATTTACCCCTGCCAAATTAAAGTGTTTTTCAGTAAAATCCTTCCGTCTTCTTCAGGTAGGAGTGACTTGAATTTTCGTTACCGCCCTTTACATTAATAATCCTGTTGATTTTCTTTTCAAGTGGATTAACTGGTTTGAATGCGCAGCTCAAGATTACGTATCACCTAATTAGGAGAGTACATCTTTAAAAAAAAAATTTCAGCACTCTTGGAGTTACCTCGCTCATGGTGTGTTCAGGGTTCGTACCGGTCATGGAAAACATGGAAAGTCATGGAATTTGATTTTTCGTTTTCCAGGCCTGGATAGTCATTGGATTTCATTACAGGTTATGGAAAGTCACAGAATTTGAAAATAAAAGAAGAAAAGGAGGTGTTTTTCTGTGCTGCGTGTGTTTACTGTTGGTGCAATCAATTGTTTCATGCGTCCTGATTGGTAAAGCGATTATCAATGTGGGGGATCAGCTTTGAAGAGCCATGATGAGCTATGCATTTACACGTTTGCTATTTATTAACTGTAGGAGATGATAGAATATGCAAGGTTAGTCTTTCAGTCGTGCTAAACATGTCGTATATGAGTATTTGAAAATTATATTGATGAATGATGGTCATGGAGAGTCATAGGAAAGTCATGGAATTTTTTTCTAAATACCGGTGCGAACCCATTGTGTTGCATATGCTTCAATCTTGTTAATGATTTTTCTACATCATGTAAAAAAATGGTAAGAAGTTGGGGTTACAGCTAGACTGCTATTTTAATTACAAAATCATTTATGATCGCCGTACAATTTGTGATCATTTCGGAAAATAGCTATTTTAAAGTAGTTCATAAGTGAACAAATTTTTAAACTACTTGTTGTTGTTGCTGCAGCCTGGCCGCCACTTCCAGCACAGATCTGACGGGTAGAGAAAAAAAAGTGATTTGTTAGTTTCCGTCGTTTTTAGCGCATTTTCTCATTTATGGAAAAAATTCACTATTGTGCTCGCCATGTCCGTCCGTCTGTCTGTCTGTCCGCCTGTGACTTGACGTTTTCGTCGACGAGAAAATGCGCTCTCTGTCACTCACTGCAGTGAGTACTGAGTTAAATTTTTTATATATTGAATGACTTATAACGAGCGTCGGAAATTATTGTGACAAAATTGACTTAGTTGAAAAGACCAATATTTACGAATATCATGCAGAGTGAGGGCTTAAGCTTCGGAGACGACCATTGAAGTTTGCGTTATAATTTTTATTTTGAGAGTTAGAGTAGGTATGAGTTCTATATGACGCACACATTATAGATATTTCCATGACAGCAACAAACTGATGAATGCTCTGTTGTAATCAATCAATAGTAATTAATATTTCACCTCCATGAGTTAGGTTGTTGAACATATCCCAGTTTTAAAGCAAAATAATTAATCGATTATGTTCATTTATGAGCGCATACGGGATTTATACATTTTTTAGAGACATGACGCACGCTTATACGCAATATTGCCATGACGTACGCCGCGTCATCAATAGAGCAATTTTTTTTATTTTTCTCACACGCCTTTTTCTTCAGATTCTTCCTATAATAAAATATTAGATAACTATAATAGGCATAGATCACCTTGGGAAGATCTCGTGTTCAGCGAGAACGATGCGGTCACTGAGCGTCTGCTCGGTGTCACCTTCCAGTACAGGCACGCTCGCCTGCGCAATTATGGCTCCGCTGTCTACCTCCGCCTTCAAATTTAAGAGGTCTCAAGGTAAGCATTATGTAGGTAAATATAATATATATTTAAGTAAAATACTGAGGTTATGAAGTCCTAAACCAGCACCTTTCAGTTTCATATATCGTAAGATAGCACTTGTATGCAAATCCGTAACTGAGGTAATGGCAGCCTTGACATCCTTCAGAGTTGAAGCGTGCATCTGAGTGACCTAATCATGAAAAAGTATCACTAATGAAATCTAGAATATAAAATCAAAATAAGATTTGCCATGAGTAAAAAAGACAGGTCGACAACGCTAGGAAAATTATCGAAATGTGAAAAATCGAAATTTATGCTTAGAATTACTAGGCCGCAGTAACTGCAACTCATCATAGGTAGTAATCCACATTGGCCTATTCGAAAAAAAGATTGACACGAATAATTTCACTGTTAATTAGCAATGCTGTAAGCGACATGAGTATCTCAATCTGTTTACTTGCTCAGCCACGACACGAATACAATTGAACAATAATATTCATATATATGAATCAACTAGCAATTCAAAAACGTATATGCGATCTCATTCCTGTTCGCAGAAAGTTGACTAGCGTACCATAAATATACGACGAAAAAATGAACACGCGTTTATTTTCTTGCAGATTATCACACTCATCACAGTTCATTATGTTCGCAATTTGCGTTAAGGACAGTTCGTCCTGTAGGCAATGTGTTAAAAAATCTGAAGCGCTAGCATTACTAAACAGCTTTTTAAACACACTTTTTAAAAGATGAGCTGTCATTTTCACAAATTGTTAACACAACGAACTGTGATGAACGGTGAGTTTAGTGAAAAGAAAGTACCGCGTGCTCATTTTGTCTTCGTCTAAATATGATGCGCAAGTCAACAATATATTCGCCAGTATGAATGAATGAGAGTTATCTTCATTACTTACTTCCACGTAATGTACGGTGCAGCCTGTGAGTTTCACACCCGCGTGCAGCGCCTGCTTCTGCGCGTCCTTGCCCTTGAAGGCAGGAAGAAGAGAAGGATGGATATTTATGAGGCGCCCTCGCCAGAGCTTCACGAAGCCCTCCGTTAGTATGCGCATGAAGCCTGCCAGACACACGAACTCGATACGGTGCTTCATGAGCTCGGAGTGCAAAGCTTCCTCGAAGCTTTCTCGGGTCGAGTGGTGGGTGTGGTCAATTACCTGTTAGGGCATCAATCATATTGGAAATTGTTATTAGCAACTTGAATTTGATTTTACAAGCAACAAACTTGCTCAGGGGTGATTTTATCGGATTAGGTCTCATCACAACATTACGTAGTGTTTTTCAAAGGAGTCTTGTTTCACGAAGAAAAGTAAATTATCAGCTTACCAGTTGAAATACTTGATAATGCTAACCTATATAATCTAATGTAAAATATTATTTGTATTTGTGTTTAATACAATAAAATGAATGCAAAAATCTTTAAATTTGCTCACCAGAGTCGGAATTTGTTGTTGCTCCGCCCACACGAGACCGGCTGCAGCAGGGCGGTTGCTCACCACCAGGCACACCTCAGCCGGACTGCCGCGTGCTGAGCAAGCTGAGGCTATGGCCTGTTAGAAGAATTGTATTATATCAAAGTTTGTAAATTATAGTGTGGTTAATTTATTAATATAGAGAGCAAGTAGACAATCAAAGTCGAAAAAACGTAAATAATTTTTCACTAAATTTTTTCGTTTTCAACGACAATTTCGTTATAAATTTCTACTCGAAAAGAAAATGGCGAGATTTTTTTCTTTGAATTTTTGACGTTTATTTGTCTAGTTTCATTCTGATTTTGGAATATCATTCTGAAACAAATTTTACGAGTAAAATTTGGAAATTGCAAGAAATTAAACGTTTTCAGATTTTATTCAAACTGTATCAAGCGCAGACAATTCTCAACGGGGACATAGCGTAGCTCTTCATTATGAGCTGACTTCGCGGATTACGAACAAAATACATCATTTATTCGTTATAAGTGTTATTTTGAAATTTACGCCATTTACGAAATAGTAGAACCGTCGTACGAATTTTAATGAGAGCTTTGAATAGGCATTCGTTTTGGTATTGAAACTGTTAAACAAAGTTTGAATTATCATCAATTCCATGGGTTCTAATCTAACTCTCTTTACCATCATGTTAGATCCTCTGCCAGATATCAGGATAGCTGTTCTTATTCTTCTGGGTGGAATCACGGTAGGATTTTGGCTCACAAACGACGACAGGGAGGCAGAGAGATGCTCTGTCAGGTTGTCTATCACCACACTAGGGCCGCCTGAAATACGAGCTTAATTACTCATGTGATAAAGTGGAGCCTATGCTTGGAATTGATTTGCTCGGAACACCTGATACTTGATTATATTTACTCGAGCGATAAACTGAAGCCTGAGTTCGAAGATTGTCTACTGACTTGCACGATGTTTGGTATGCAGAAACCAATTGTGAAGGGCTTCGTTATATGTATATAAATAAATTAATATGGAATGTACTGAAACAAAGTTGTTATGCAAAAATCAAAAATTTAAATTTTTGATATGAGGAATAAAAATATAATAAATTAACACTAACAATGGGAGGAATTGAAAGTAATTCCAAATGAAGTTAATATTCGAAAAAGTAGCTCCATACCTGGAGGCCTAACAAAAAGGCGTCCGACTTCTGCAGCGCCTTCGTCACTTAGGGCTTTCAGGACCTTCTCCTTCAGCTCCTTTTTCACCGTCAGCAGCAGACCTATGCCTAAATTAAAGGTAGCGGCCATCTCTTCGGCTGACACCCCTGAAATTACAAAAAATTTGCGCGAAAATACAGACATTTCATCCTAATTCAAAATCATTTGCTTACCACTAAAAATTTTAACTGAAATTTCCAGTAAACAAGACGTTACCTATTGAAGATTCCTAAAAATTAAGACAAATAAACAATAAACTCGCCTTGGCTGGCGATCCAGAGAAAATGTGGCGGGATGGTACACTTAGCGAGGTCGAGTTTTGCAGCGAGATGTGGTGGCAACATCCGCCCCGCGTTGCCCAAGATTCCACCGCCTGTGATGTGAGCAGCTCCCAGGATCTGGCCCCGCACCTTGCTGAAGACCTGAATGTTCAATGAATTAGTGGCCTGTTAATTTATTGACCAGCGTTCGTTGTGTGGTTATTAAGATTCGTGATTAACTGAAGTTTATTTAACAATTGTTTGCTTGTAATTTATATAATATGAGCAGGAGCGCGTTCAGAGGAAAATGAACATCTTCCCATAAAACAGACTTGTTAACAGGAAGCAATCAGAGAGGTATAATGTACAGAAAAATTATAAAGTCGTCCGCAGAATCTTTCTAGTATTCGTTCAACCGTCGCTTTATTGTTTAATTTCCTGAGTAGGGTCTCGGTTCATATTTAGTACGACTAAAAAGTTTCAATTTAATCAATACCGAGTGTCTTTGCTGTTTTCTAATTTACTGGCAGATTTGCTGTAGAAGCAATGACCTTTGAGTAGAGACGCGTGGGTTCAAGTAGCGCTTGTCCCAAAGTAGACGCTTGGCTTTGGAACGGGCAAGGATCGGTATACTTCAATCCCAAGCTTTCCACTATTTTCCTGACGAGGCTGAAGCCGTTAGAGTGGAACCCGGACGACTTCACGGCAATGAGGCAGTCGTTTTCGGCCATCAGTAGTCGCTTGGGTAACAGTTCCTCCTTCTCGACGACACCCACAGCGAACCCTGCCACGTCGTATTCACCTGACCGGTACATGCCCGGCATTTCTGCCGTCTCGCCGCCTACCAAAACGGTGAGATTTAATAATAATAATCGTTTCTTGGCGTATTTATAACAAACTTATAAATGACAAATTGAAATTAATCGACGTCATAGAAATATAGTGAATTGTCAGAAATTGTAGCCGTGATTATGCTAGGTCATTTTATGTCGTGTATGATAAGTAAGTTAAAATTCCTTTTGAAGTCATATCAAGAATAACAAGTGCGTACTTATTGCCTGCCGATGTCATTCTCACTAGAGAGTAACATCAAAACCCTCATTTACTCACCAACTTCAGCGATACTATAACTCTAATTTTCAACAGCAAGAGCGACACTATTTCATACCAGTGTAGTGCCGACGGTGAAGAAGAGGCCAAGTTTGGCCTGTCGCCGATTTTTGTTCTTGTTGTCAATTGTTCACAGGAGCTCTAAAAACTGGCCTTTTGAACAGCTCTTTTCAAACCTGACAACCTTTGAATAGCTACTAGACTTTTACCGGGTCCGTGGGGTATGGACACTTCAAGTCTGAACATACATACTGCTGCATAACTTCGTTTAGTTTATTCTAGTCAACTATAATCCACATTTACTCACCAAACAGAGCGGAATTATCACTTCGACTTACCAACCAAGAAGAGCGACACTATCACCTCTACTTACCAACCAACTGGAGCGGCATTAAACACATCATTTACTCACCAAAAAGAGCGGCATTAAACACCTCATTTACTCACCAACAAGAGCGGCATCAAACACCGCGCATTTACTCACCAACAAGAGCGGCATTAAACGTGTCATTTACTCACCAACAAGAACGGCATTAAACGTGTCATTTACTCACCAACAAGAGCGGCACTAAACGTGTCATTTACTCACCAACAAGAGCAGCACCAACGTCTTTACAAGCCCCAGCAATGCCGTGGACAACCTCCTGCAGGACGCGAGGCTGCAGCTTGCCCGTCGCAAGGTAGTCGAGGAAGACGAGCGGCGCGGCGCCGTGACACTGGATGTCGTTGACACACATTGCCACCAGGTCTTGGCCTATGGTTGTATGCACGTCCATTGCGTTCGCTATCTGCACAAAAAAGTTAAAGTCTGCCAAAAAAAGTCTTCTTATCTGCACAAAAAAATCTTCATGGATTCGCCACGTATATTTATGCTGTATGATTATTTATTTGTTCTTGGTTATGTGGCTCCCCGATGGCTCCAAGAAAAAGCTCCACGATAGAAGATTGTTGGAATCAATTGGTTGAAATCAATTATAACGAACACGGGATGACCAATTTTGAGCACACACGATTTTGCTGCCCAACGATTATCTCGCATGGAAATCTCAATCAATCAGAATATCTAGCGTTCTGTAGGCTTTTTGTTCCCTTCGTAGAAAAAATGCTTTTTCCATTCATGGAATGTTCTTGGCCTTCAAGCTCTTTCAAAATATCACTCGATTGAAATCAGTTCCAAATTTGTTACCTAGCACCGGCATTTGGTATCTCTTGACCATTTTAATGAGGTGTCAGTTGATCACATTCTTTCAAAGTCTCTAGTACTGCACATGCTTGGAGGTAGGTTGATGCAGGAAAATAATCATGTAATAAGGATAATTCAATTCGGGTTAATAAATACAATTCGGGTTATAATAAAGCTTCCTTATAGGATTAGAACTCCCTCTTCTCACCATGAGTTTAGTCCCGACACCATCAGTCCCGGTCACCAGGACCGGTCTTTTGAAATCTTCAACACTGAGATCATAGAAGCCACCGAAGTCTCCAAGACCTCCAAGCACCGCAGGCCCTTGAGTCGCTGCCACGCTTTCTTTGATGGCGGCGACGAAAGCGTCGCCGGCAGCGACGTCGACCCCAGAACTGCTGTAGGTCATGCCTGATGAAGGAGACCTGAGCAAAGATGCGCGTTTCGATGCCTCAATACCACAGGAAAATATATTATAATATATTCGTTATCAATAATATTTAAATGATAGAACAGTAGTACGTTAATTTAATACTGTTTAGTACTGGCACCACTGCAGAAAACTAAGCCTCTTAATTAGAGTTCAATTATTTAAGTGTATTATATAGTCAAATAAGTATCCACAGAACAGTACAAAAACTCGGCGGTTACAGCTTAAAATTTAGTGAATGCAAGTTTTAATTGAGGTTTTAAATTGGATATGAGCAGTGCTTTGATTTTCTCAAAGTGAATGCAAGTGAATCAAAGTTGTGTTTGATGTTCTAATAGTTGATGCCAAGGGTTCCCTTCCCTATTCTTACAATGTCCAGTGTTCTTTTGCGTTTGATTCGTTTAGTGCTGAGTGTATGACACTAATTTAGGCGATCAATGAAGGTATCGATGAATATAAAACTATAGAGCAGAATACGAGGTGCGGGAGATACGTATTTTCAACTGAATCTACATAAAGGTGGTCATATAGGCTCCTTCAATAACCTGGCTTTTGGACGAATACTACAGGAGCTGCATATTGACTTCTTTTTTGATATCCTTTTACCGAATGCGAAAGACCCGATATAAAAAAACTATTAAGTTTTCAGTCGAATTAAACACGCATTATTTTATACTAGTGTCTCTTTTATAAATTCTAGAGTGCTTTAAGTATGCGTCTGTGGTTATATGATAATCGTAGAACTTACACTAATCCAACCTATAACATATTGCAAATGTAAGGTCATGGCATAACTTACCCTGATGTTTTAACACATTGCGAACTTTTTCGCAAGCTGAGTTGCTCCTCAGCCATGCAACCAATATCGTCCCGCCACTCAGCTCCCTCAAATTTGACCAAGGCAGCTCGCCGACAGGCCTCCTGTCGAGCCACTGAAGTGGAAGAAGCCGTCACCACCACAGTCACCACCCTTCCACCCGCCGTCACCAAGCAGTTACTGTCACTGCCAGCCACTGGCGATATCGCCGTCGAATTGTGGTAGACTTTGACTCGCAGTTCGGAGTTGTGGTTTTCACTTGCCGCCTCCAATCCTGTAACAAGTAAGCTATTTTTTTTATAAAGCAGACTATTGATATTTTATTAAATACAAATCGGCTGACATTCCTGACACGCGTGATAAATGTCAGGTATGTGGTATATAAAAGTGGGCGAGTACTTTTCACCGTCCCTTATAGCCAACAGTAAATTGATGATTAGGCGGCAAGTCGGGGAAAGTGATTAATCTCACTAAAAAGATTAAATCTCAAATCGGAGAGTCCGGGAGAGTGATTAAAGCGCATTAAAGTGATTACATCTCAATCAGAAAGTCTCGGAAAGTGATTAATCCTCATTAAAGTGATTAAATCTCAAATCGAAGAGTCTTCGAAAGTGATTGGACTATAATATGAATATAAAAATGTTACACTTGTTTAGTCAAATCCTAAGAAAATTAACAGAGATTTCATCCCAAATGTTCAGTACTGCGGGGCCGTTTTAGAGGAAAAAAATTACTGAATATCTACCAAGTCCTCGGGTTTCAAAAAGTTGAGTCCACACAACACACAGGACTTGGTCCACACAACACTCACTCAGTCCACAGTCCACACAACACTTATGAATAAATCGTTTGTTCAAATATTTAACCTCTACCCGATCGCATATTCAGCTCCCAGAACTCGACCCAGCTTCAGGTACAGTTAAAATTTGATTTCAAAACTATAACCCTATTTTAACCGCATTTCAAGGATCACACCCAAGAATGTTCGACTTTTGAATATGCTCAGAAATACAACGCTTGTCAACTAAAGAAAGCAACAGGTAATTAACCTGAGATAAGGAGTCCTTTAGTGGCGGAGGCAGGATAGTCCTGCGTGACGACCACCACGGCGCACGAGACTTGGTCCTGCAGGAAGCGTACTAGAGGCGCTTCACAGAGCCGGCCTCTGGCGCATGCCTGCGGTTTCGAAAATGTGTTACTTCGTGATGCAGGAGTGAAAATTATTTTTTAACAATTATATAATATACGTAATATGATAATAAATTCATGAATATATGTACTGTATATCTTCATTATAATAAATGTATTGTATATTATATCTTGTCCGTGTAAATAAAATTAAGTGTTTAATATACATTTCCTTCTTAAGGTACTTCATGCATTCTGTTTAATGCTTCAGTAAAAGCTTAGTAGTAAAAGTGTTCATATTGCCAAATGATAAGAATTTTATTTTATTATAACAAAAAATATCGCTATCATCAAGAAAACAAACAGAATACGAGGCGCTCGAGTTCAGCCGAACTGCATGCCATGCATTTGATACAGAACGCAACTATACTTAACACTTGATTCTGAAAGCAGGTGGCTTGGAGGCAAACTTAAACGACTTGGCTGTTTACGCTAGTGACTATTCATCTGCTTATTCAATATACTGATTGTTGAATAAAACTCTAGAATTACGCCAAGAATATTACACAAAGATCGTAATTTCAAATTCTGAGCTCTTCGTTCCATTAATTGTCGACAGACAAACAAAATGCAGGCAAGATCCGAAGCCCTCGCATTTGTGAAGTAACTCTAGAACTCATATGCATACATAATAACCTTCATAGTGAGGTAGATGTTCGTATCCAACAGAGGCAAGATGGCTTCGGTCTCAGGGTCGCCGAACCTGCAGTTGAACTCCAGTACGGCGAGCTTGTCCACACACAGCATGAGGCCCGCGTACAGCACTCCTGTTCATGAAAGATCATTGGTGTGACGCAAGTGACTTGGTCCCGTCAGCAAAAAAGTTAAGTTTTCGCACATGCGTCAGCCAATCACTGTTGGCTTTTTAAGCTAAATCCACCAATCACAGACGAGAAATCAGCCGCTATGAGCGTTCGTAGGCCGCTAACTGTGCGAGAGCCGCTGCGTGTTCTTAAGCGAGTGTAGATAGTGCGGCCCCTGGTATGAATACATTTTGATGCCACTGGTAAAATGGTAAAATTTCATAGGCCTATACATGAGTAAATTGTGTCATCGACCTAAGCAGCAGGCTCGGCCGAATGTCGGCCGACCGTCGGCCCTCCATGAAACTTCTTGGCCAACTATGAAACACCTGAGACTTGTGGCAAGCATGGCGGTCGACGGCGTACGACGAACTTGTTTATGTTAATATTTAACGTCATGACATAAAATAACCAATTGTGTCATAGACCTACTAGTAAATTGTACTTATCGCAGTCTTGAATTAACTCAATCGATTTACATTTTGGGTCAAGATTGTCATTTTTTAGAATTTTGCCTTCCAAATTACCTTTCCTCACTCCTTAACTTTATAAGATTTAAATGAAATATTTTCTAGAATCTGGCCTTTTACGTCTAATCGTTCTCGTTGCATAGGCTCTTGTTTCATAATCGGGATATTTTTCTGCGGCTAACACGATTCGTAAACTCATAATTTCGTTGAACATATCGATTTTCTGATCATTTAATTACTTTATTATGATATTTTAGTTTTCAACGAACTCATTTGTGCATCGTTACCTTTGAAAGGAACTCCGTCGAGTGCCATGCCGTCCACGGCAGCTTGCAGAATATCCTTACAGAGGGCGGAGGTGGCGGCGTCCACAGGGTACGGGCACACGGCCCCCATGCCCCCCGTGTTGGGGCCCGTGTTGCCGGAGTAGCGGGTCTTGTGGTCCTGGGAAGGTGGCATCATTGCGATAGACCGCCCGTCCGTGAAACAGAGTGCCTGCAATAGAGAGAAAAATGCAGACGAAAATTACGTGTGAAAACTTTTTCAAAATTTTTAGTAGTGAAACCAGTAGTAGTGCACATTTTTTAAACACAATCGATGACTAACACAGAGTTGTATTAAATCAAAATAATTTTTTCATGACTGGAAACAAATGAAGTTAGCATTTGAATTAAATTGAAAATGGAAATAGTGTGAAAGTACCCGTCTAAATAAAATTGAAAAAAATTAATTAGGCAGTTATGAGTATTATTAATATCATCATAGAGCGTCGTGTACTCTGACCTCGACAAAATCTCTAGAAATTTGGTAATCTCTAAATGGAAATCGGCACTTACGGATATCTCTGAACGGATATAGGCACTTACGGATATAGGCCTGTCTCTTATACACATCTAGATGTGTATAAGAGACAGTGACTGCTCACCATCTCATATCAGATTGTCAACANTACGGATATCTCTAAATGGACATCGGCACGTACGGATATCTCTGAACGGACATCGGCACTTACGGATATCTCTAAATGGACATCTGAACTTACAGAAATCTCTAAATGGACATCGGCACTTACGGATATCTCTGAACCGTACAGCCGCTGCTCTACCAGAAGAGAGCTGGCGGCCTTTCCGTGGACACTGCGCAGTTCGTCCACGGCGGCGACGGCCTCCACCTTGTCGCTGGTCACGATCACGCCCTTGCCAGCCGCCAGTCCACACGCCTTTATCACCCAGCCCTTCCACGTGCTCCTGGTGGGGAGAGGAAATTTAATATCATACTTGCCTGCGGCCACTACACACACCTTTACCACTTAACTCTTCCAGGAACTTCTGGTGACGGTTGGAGAATTTAAAACATATTTGCGTGTTATACTTGACTGCCGCCAGTCCAGATTACTCAACTCTTCCGGGAGCCCTTGTTGCGGGATAGAGAATTTAATGTTTTGTTAGTCTCGTACGTATCTTCGTAAAGACAATCCGGCAGTAGCGACAAAGAAAGGCGTTTGTTTTGAAAAAATGCATTAGCGGATAAAGGCATACATAAAGACGTGTTTCAGATGAAACGTTTAACGCCGTTGAACATATAGAGAATGTAAAGCAATGAGCCAATTCATGAGGACAGATGGAAGATGCTTTTAATTTTAATATGTTCCCAAGTATACTTTACAATACCTGGATGAATATATTTGAAAAACTTTGGTCCATATATTATGGACAAGTTATGCTACACTACATGCACTGTATACCTCTGATTTGGTGTGTAAAATGGACGTACAAAACTTATATGCTTTAGTTATGAGTATGCTTTTGCTTGTTTTTTACGGTAGTGCCTAATCTTAAATTTTGCTTATAGATAATATTTAGGTCATATATTTCAGTCTTTAAGGAACAGGATCATCACTCATGACTAAATTCTTCTTAAAGTGCTAATTTCTTGCAAACTGCTAAAATCATTTCTCATAATCGAACCCAGTCGGGAGACAAGGAACTGAAGTATTTAATTTAAAAACTTTAGCCGAATATTACAAATTAAGGTAGGGAAAATGTTCAAAGCTATTTTACACGGTTCAAGTTGACAGGCAAGTGACACGAACACGATCCAAATTGGCGGGTAAGTGAGACGATCATCGTTTTAATTTCAGAAAATCTTTGTTGTGATGCACCAAGTCCTTGCCAGATCTTCAGCTCATCAACCAATAATCAATCAGGCATCACACTGAATCTACCAATCTTAGTCCCGAATCCTCGAAACTAGAACTTACACCCACCGTAAAAACTATACACTTTTCCCCCGGTTTGAGGGCATAGACTCACTGTTGAATGAAACTCTTGGCGGAGTCTGGGTCAGTGAATACGGCTGATTCAGCAGTGGGTATTCCGTGACGCAGCATGAAGGCTTTTGAAAACGCCTTATCTGCCTCGAGCATCGCAGCAGCTTTTGATGGACCGAACACCTGAAGCGGAACGCAAATAAGAGCGTTATATTCGAGAATATCTGTCTATGCACGAGCGAGCGTTTCAAAATACGTTTCAGCAATCGGTTATTCGAAATGCGTTTATGTGATCAGCGTTATGGATTAGGCTTAATAAATCAGCGTTTCAAATATGTTTCAGGTAGGAGGAATTCAATTACCGGTAGATTTTGACGTTGGTTCAATATTGGTTGGCAATCTGAATCGTTATGAGTGTACGCCGAGTTCGTAATATACGTTCACAAAACTTATAAACCACACAGCAAACACCGGCTGGTGAGAGTGAGCTAGAAATTAAACTGTAAAAAGACTAGTGGCGAGAAGAAAAGGCTAAGATAAAATCGAGTTATGCTCGGACTGGGAGGTGTGATTTCTTCATACCCGAAATCTTAAAATCAATTATAAAAAAAACTTATATGCTATTAGTGACCTGGGAATTCGTTAATTTAAATTATCAGAGAGTTGTACAATTCTTCAAATGACGTTGGTAGTTCAAGTTGAACATTCCTAGATCAAGTTGATCTACCAACGTCATGTGAAGAATTGTCCGACTTTCTGATAATTTAAATTAACGAATTCTCTGGTCACTAATAGCATGCGTATAAATCAGTAAATTCTGCCATCTCAAACTAAAACTTATAAATTGTACGTCTGGGATGCTCACTAGAATGCCTGCATGCGTCAGGGTATCGGTGATACCATCTGCAAGAGGAGCCTCGGGACCAACCACGACGAGATCCACTGACCGGTCCCGGCAGAACTCCACCACACTCTGGATCAGGACACGCATGCACAAATGTATGGAAATTAGTAAACAGAAATTTAATCATATTGATCAAATGCGTTGTGATTAATTGAAAATCGCGAATTTTTTTCTAAAAACGTCACAACCCCCTTTAGGACCGGAAAACTAGTGAACGTAATTGAGTTGAAAGAACGTGCGATAAGCTAGAGCAGACTGTCCCTATGCTTTTTGACCACATTCGTGAACATTCCTAAGATGTGGTTAATTAGAGGAGCATATTTTAAACTTTCAATTACTCTCATATCACGTCAAATGGAATGGAAAAGGTTTATAGTTTACCGTTTTTCATATTTGACAACTGTTATTTAAGCAACTTCAGTTTACTTCAGTCAGATGATAGCATCAAAGTTAGAAGCAAAAAGTTAAAGAGTGCCGTTTCGAATTGGAGAAAATTCAATTTCGTTTCCATTTCCACTTCATGCTTTGAGCTGCAACTTGACCAATCAAACTAAACGGAATAATTAATTACCTGGTGTTGCTTCACGTCAAGGTTCAAACATTCCACGCCCTTTTCCTTCGCAATGCCGGGATTTCCAGGCGTGACGTATATCTTGTCTACGACCTCATCTTCCGTTTCACCAGTTTTTCGGCAAATATCACTGATACTCTCAGGTTCTTTATCATCACTTCTTGATTCACGACACTTTGTAAGAGCGTGCACAATAGCGTGCTCTCTGCCACCACCTCCCAGAACCAAAATAGAAGCCATCCTGCAAGAAAAATTAAGGTCAAATTGCAATTTCAATGATTTATCGAAAGTGGGGAAGGGGCTAGGCTGCATGGAATAGAAATATTTTGGGGTTTAGCGTGTGGGTTACGACCATTGTTTTGGCGGCTTGCAGGTCATTGGCTCGCTGGTTTACATCCATGAAGGAATTTAGTCCCTGTGGCTTTCAGCAAGTAATCATGTTGGCTAATTGGCTCTGCAGCATGCTTGCGCACGGGGTGAAGTATGAAAATTATGCTGGTATATGGCAATGCTGGGTTATTTCAGTCGTCCCTTATAAATGGGTCGTGGTAGCTACAATTAAATAGGTATTTCTTGCCAACATCTCTGAAATCGTGAAGTCTAATTCAAAATTGTTACACTCAAGCATTAATTTAAGCTAACATTTCCATTGCGTCTTTGACTATCGGATTGGAAGCAGCCATTGGACTTGAGAACGAGAGCGAAGACGACTCAAGAAAATGGAACCTGTTCTACAGACAGTCTTCGCCTTAGCCGGCACAGCGCCTACCTGCGTAGTTGCGCTACAGTATGTGATCTTTAAAAATAGTATACGTATTAGTGTGTCATAGTTTAGATAAAAATTTTATTATATAACATGTCCTACCCACACCATGTCATTATCAGCTGGCAAATATCAAACTGGCTTCTAAATAGTACCGTGAAAATTTATGAATGAATTTTCCAGTATGAATTAATTTTTCTTATCAAAATATGTTTAACAAATTGGCACTCACAATGATAGGAAGGTTCTTTAAAAAATACGCCACTATTAGATTTAAAATAATAAAATGCATTCTTTCAGTACTAGCAAAGTCCTGGTGATACTTTTGAATAAATTGTGGACCACATTCGTTGCACAGTTGTGAGAGTGATATATAAATATGTTCAAACTAAATTAAAGGTTTCGTTACGAAAATTCACTAAAACTGTAGATACGAAAACTTCAACTTAATCTTTATGCAAAGACAAACTATCCCATCATGTTTATGATGATCAAATCTGCCCCCATTAAAAAATGATAAACTTATAAAATAATGTAGCCTATGGCACCCGCTCACCTCAGCAAGCAAAAATTCAGTGGCCAAAGTTACGCTAGTCAGTAACTACAACCTCTTTTCACAAGGCCAACCGGAGCACTGAGGTGAGATCGACTGGAAAAGATTGCATTCAGATGGTCGTTAGGCCTCTTCAGCCATGGGCCGACTGCGCACAACAAAACACGACTGTAATTATTTCGTAACAGCGTCACGTTGTCCGCGTTCAAGAAATGCAATTAGCCCCGCCTATGCGTCTAACTGGAACGATTAAATTTCGTTGAAATTACCTAGTCCAGAGCGATCACAGATCAGGAATTTGGAATTAGGTAGGAATGTGATTCCTGGACTTGTTTTCAAGGAATTCTACAGCGCATGGATTATAATGGAATTTGCCAACACAGACTTAGCCAAACGGTCTTCAGTTTGCGATTGAAACGAAAATTATCAGGTTAGGGTATCGTAAAAAATATTCTCAACCTAATCCTATACAAATTTTCCTTAAAAAAACGAAATAAACTAAATATCTGAGTGACAATGCTCACGACGTAACTTATATACCAGTGAGTTGCGTATCAAATTTTAAATTAGTCGGTTAAAAATTGATTGTGTTGTAAGCTTGACATTAGTGAAAAATGTGCGTTTTGTCGCTGAGTCCGCTTACGAATCCCGACAAATGTAATTTTTTTTTATTTGCAGTTGAAGTAGCACTTTAAACTTGTAGAATGCAGCCTCTCGACAGAATGGTTCCCAGAAATGACGATTGAGTGATCAGAACGCACGTTTTTCCGTATGAAATGAAATTATCTCACAATTAGAAATGTGTTGAAATAAAACAGCCAGGAAACTTTATGGAAGAATTTTCATTTCAAGTTTTACACGCACAACGCCGTCAAATCAAACCGATCTGGATCTAATTGGAAAGGAAGTTATATATTTGCATACCCTTCAGGGAATGCGGACCACATCGACACCTATATAAGAGGGTGAATTTTTACACGGCAGGTTTTCCGAGCATAAATTTGTCAAAACGAAACAGATCTTGACCTTATTAACACCAAATCTATTTATTGTCAATACAGTGATGGGTGATGCGGGCATTATCGTAATTTTATAAACATTCTAACTACGTTCGCTGGAGCGTATCATGGATAAATAGCTTTATTTTCAATTAGGTCAAGATGGCTTAGGACATGGTTGAACTATACTAGGTGAACCATGGCTCAGGATTTGATTTTGGTGATTTGGTGGGTTCACCATTTGGTGAACCCAACAGGACAGGAAAATTTGTTTCAAAATTTGTCTCACAATTGTCTTAGCCGTCAACACTAGGAACAGAGTCAAAATTTTTATTAGTAGGCTTCCATTCCATATTAAAACGCCAGAATGTGCGTTATTTACAAGTGATATGATCACAGTAAATAGTTATCTTCATTATTTACGAATAAATACATCACACGGCTTAAGAGGCGATAGGAATAAAATGAAAAAAGAGCTTCCATATAGCCTAAATATCACAGGGTGGCCTAGCGGTTACAGTTCAGAGTACCGAGATTGGTGCAGACATCGTTAAACTAGTATATATATTTAACAATGGGTGCAGAGAGGTGCGGGTTCGGTCCCAGCTCTGTGCGCCAGTTTCTAGTCAAAATCGGCAAAGAAACCGCAACAAGCTGTGAATGTTCTGCGATGTTAAAAATAGGCGACAGGCCTACGGCCTAATAAACGCTGAAACCGCTATCCGTGTAACTTTACATAGTCATGATAGGAAAAAGTGATTCTGTGGAAAACGCATTCTATAGCATCAGAATAATATTTTGAGGATATCACATCTTCAAAAGTTTGGGACTGTTGAGAAATAAGACGGAAGAAATGGAAAAACTATCTTCTCTAAATAAATTTACTTACACCAATTCAGAGTGCGGATAGATCGATAGGATAAGTAGATCGATAGGATAAGTAGAAGTGAGTTAAATTTCGATTATAAGATTTGTAGCAGACAGACAGACAAACAGGAAGTGAAGTTAAAGAGAAGTGTTGTTATTAAAACTGACATTGAATGCGATCGTGTCCATTTGCAGATGTGAATCAATCAACATAAGTTTAATTGACGTATTTTCTGGTGAAAATTGAATTTTTCTAATATTTTTACTTCGACTTAATCACATCTTTTCAATTGAAAAAATTAACATTTGAGGCAAACCTGTTGTTATTAATCCAGAATTATCGCACAAAAATATACCGTTATGTGTTTCGTATAGCTACCGCAAATCGGTTAAATTTTCCACGACCAATTATTTGAAAGCTCTCACCAAAACAAAACATCTGTCATCAATTAGTTTCGACTGAACAAGTTCGTAACATTTATAAAAGAAATGAAGTTTGCTGACGCCTTAACAACGTTTAAACAGTTAGCCATGTATATTTGTCAATGTCGCGGTGAAAAAAAAATCAGTATCGATTCATCGAGTACATAGATTATTTGATAATAAGATGAACTTTGAAGAATACAAAAACTGTTTGTTTTGCAATGATGCATCAACGAACTTTGATGGCCTAGGATCCGCACTTGCCACTGTATATATCAACGCACGTTCATGTATCATTTCTAATAATTATATTATCTAAGGGGACTATAGAGCTACTATTGAGTACCGCACCGGGTCTTCTGTGATGGAAAGATGCAGCCTCAATCATGTTTGGTTGTGGCAGTTGGTTCGGCTTCTACTTAGAAATTCTGGTAAAGCTTAGACGCAGCACGCGTTTAAAGTTTCAGTTCGATAAATTTATTCAGGGTCTTGAAGTAGCACCTCGAAAGTAGCACTTTAAGTGGCTGCTCTTGTACCTAGAGCTCACGTCATCGGTTACGGTTCAATCATTGTTGATCCTCTTCTTCGGAGTTTGACAATTGGACGGTTATAAATAGCTGCGGTGGATAGNTTATTATTTATCTATGTTTAATTCTGCATTAAAAATGTATTATTTATATTTATTTATTATTATTATTTAATTTTTTTATAATTTTTATTTCATTTTATTTTATTTTTTTTTATTATTTATTTATTTGTTATTTTATTTATTTTTCTGTTATTTTTAGTTTTTTTTTTCTTGTTTTTTTTTTCTTTTTCCGTGTGTGTGTGTTCTCTCTTTGTTTCAGATTTTAACTTTCAGAGCTGTTAGAGTGTTAGGTACCAATTAAACCCAGTTTAGGCAAGGGGCTTTATGGACTAGCTTCCAGTGCTCCTATAAGAATAAATTAGAAAGAAAAGAAGACCTTGTAGTACTGCAGAGTGCAGAAGCTCTCAGGCCGGGCCCCACGGTTATCCTTGCGGTTGTCCTGTGGCTTCAAGTCGGCAAGTCCACCCAACGTGGACACCCGGAAAAGAAGAAGATACCTTGTAGTAGTAAAAACTTCAGCTTCAATGAAGGCTTGTCTCGTTGCGTTGCCGCGTAAAGTGAACCGCAGCAGATAATTGAGGTACCGGTATCGACAAACTACGACTCGCAGGTTAATTTTCTTGCATCTATTGCATGGTACCTATATTTTAGTTTTACTACATTCCATTCCAGTTAATCCGGTATATTTATTCACTTTACTTACTGCAATGACACTAGATTTGTTTATTCATGCCGCATGCCCCGCAGCCCAGCTGCCCTCATTATCATAGGCAGTAATCATAGTGGCAATAGGCAAAGTTAAATAGTATTGGGAGACTTGTCCAGTGGACCAGTTGTCCATTCTCCAATGACGAGTGCAATTTATGATTGATATGGCTGAACAAGAATGATAGCCTAGTCACTACTCACAAGTCACAACTCACAAGAATGATGATATCTTTAATATAGTCAAAGTTTCAAAGATATGGACAGCCGACAGCAACAGAGTCTCAAAGAGAAGTCAGAGATTGTCTTGATTTTTGTCTCACTACAGGTTACAGAATACTGACTCCTAGCCTATCTGGCCCTATCATAGGCTACCAAATCTACTATCATGGGTACAGTCAGCCTGTCAGGCAGATTACCAATCCACATTTTGATATAGCCTAACTTTGACTTTGAGCTTTGATGAAATGGAAAACTTACCTAAACCCACAAATTGAAATTGGCAAATGAATTCATGCTCTCAAAATTATTTTTACAGTTCTGAAAAGAATGTATGGCTGGAGCCTGGAGGCTGGACATGTTGGGAAAAGTCGTACTTTTTTTTTTAAATATGGCAGCTCTAATATCATATAGGGTAAACGTGTTATATTCCGACATCGCCATGGTCAGGAAGATGTGCCAGGTGCGTGGAAATTTATATTCTCATTTTAACGACCTGCGCGGTGCGCCGTACTATGCCGGTAAAAAAATGCGCCATGCGCCGACAGCGCCATACTTTTAAAAAGCTAAAATAGTTTAAATATGGATGCGCGGCAATGCAAATTACGTAATCACACTGACCGTACACACAAAACGTGTATCCGCACTGTGTTGTGGTTGGATACGAGTTAACTAGATTGCTAACGCGTCAACTCAGGACTCAGGTTCTAAGAGTCAGCACAGTAATGAATATTCATTCATAGACCACAATTCAATCGGACATGAATTACAGAACTAAAGAAGGCAACATGGCTTTAGATGTGCCATCGGTGCCTTCTAATGAATGACTGGACTGGTTGCGGCAAGTAGGGTATGAACCNTTAATTAAAAGCGTAATTAAGTAGTGTTCAATATTCATTAGTGTTCTAATTCAAAGCCGTGTTGTATTCCAATACAGCTCACACAGCGAACGTAATTCGAACTTGTGGATGAGGGCATTACGTATCAGTAGAATTTGAAGCGCGGACGGAATACGCCTCACCACGTGCAGAATATTGCCACACACAGTGTCGGAATATAGGGATTTGGTAGGTTTGCATTCTAAAGGCTTTTATATAAATATGGCAACATTTTGTGACGTTTCATTGTTGCTGGCGCGTAGTACTGTGTTTTGCGAGTCACATAAAGCAAACAGAATTCAAGTAACGCATACGGTTATTTTTTTATAGTTTTTAATTTCTCGATACGTCCTTAATGTGTCGGAATATATCGCGTTTACCCTAATTTCAGTAACATAAGGTATGAAATCTCTCAGCTCTAATGTCATGCATTTTTATTTGATCGAAAAAATTGCAGTTTGCACTTTGATAACATCAAGTCAATCCGAAACGTTCCCAATCCGAAATGCATAGTTGTGGTCAGTGGTCACTGGTCACCTCAGAGTGATCAGACTGCATTATCATGTGTTCAGTAACTTCAGTTGCAACTTGCTACTTAAGTGAAGTTATATGTTAGTTTTGCTGTACAACTGGACTGTTTCCACTGTGCAGAGAGTGGGTGAATATTGCAAGATTTTTGGCAATGTATCAGCAGCAAAATTTATGCTTTCAAAAGTTCTTGCGAACACATTTGGATTGAAATTATAAATTATTGCATTCTAGATATTTGCCAGTCTTCAACCAACTATTTAGAAAATACAGCAATCCCTTGATTAATGTGGTTTATAAATCCCCGAGTTTTACCGTGTTAAGCAAAACCACGCTAATCAAACTTAAGAATACATGGGTATCCTCAAAATGAGAATGGGAATCCTCATTGAATCCTCAAAAATAGCAAAGTTACATAATACTTTTTTTTCCACTAAAATTCATCATATTTTTTTTCTAAATAATAGGGGAAATAAATAAAAGAAATGTGAATGAATTAACATTTATTTTTTACTGAAAAACAAATCCAATTTCAATTGCACAGTAGTATTAGATTTCTTTCTCTCCTGCATAATTGTGCAGATTTAATTAGTCTCCAAAGTGATATTTTTACGTTTAAGCATTCCCTTTTTGTCCATAATTATGACGGTAATTTATCAAGGAAAATTATGTAGTTTGATAAAAATGAGCAGTAGATATGGCAGTGATCTTAATCAGTTGAAGGCTAACGAGTAACTAGAGCACCGGCATGGTGCACTTACCGGCGAACGTTGACGAACTCGACCATTCGAGTTATGAACGTGACAAGGCGCGGTTAAACCGACTCTGTAGTCAGCACAAGTGCCTACGGAACGGGACCTTATTTAAAGAATTATTGGCTGAAATTCATAAAGTAACAACATTTGGTGAATTTTTCCAAAAGTTGTAACAAAAGTAACAACATAAGATCTAATAAGCAAAAAGTAACACTTTTGTTATGAACGTAATACCTCTGGCTAGAGACGGGAAAATGATGCGTTGTGAAAAAAAGTCAAGCTAATCAAAACTGGCACCGCGTAGATTAAGGGTAGGTCGCAAATTTTTTTTCCGCATTAAACAAAACTGCGGTATTCAAAACCGTGCTAATCAAGGGATTGCTGTAGTTGAAATTCTGAAAGCCCACAAGCAGCAGATGCAGTGAATAACAAGAACAATAATAATTCTAGAACTAAGCATCGGTTACTAGGACATAGGGTACACGATAGCTTTCTTGATACGAGTACTGCACCTGGCGCCATGACTACATCTCTTGGCATGTTGAGCCTCACTCTACTTTGCTGCTCTCTCAATAGATGGTGCCATGCGTCTGGCTGCCAGATAGCTACCCAGTTATACAAAAATGAAGTTTCATTCCAAGTGTCCCGAGTAGCCCCGTTCGACGGGGCTACTCGGGACACTCTTTTTTTGCTTCTGGCACCTTACGAATAGCATATGGAATTTTTTTAAAGATGCCATTCGATAGCCTTTGCAAAGATCTATAAAATGAGCCTAAACTTGTTAATGAAATGTTTCATGGTAAGAAGTTATTAACAAAAAATGCTCAAAACTGTCCCGAGTAGCCCCAGTTGATGGTAACACATGCACGCAACTTTGTAAATAAGTTTGTGGCTTGTAAATGGCTTTTCATGGCTGAGATATGGAATTCATGGCTCGATGAAATGGAATTCACGGCTTGAAGAAATGGAATCACGGCTGGCAAATCCATAAAACCATGACCTGAAAAATAGAGTAGTGGCTTGCCAAGTACCGTAAATATATTAAATGCCTGTGGCTGTATAATAGACTTCACGAGTCATGGCTTTAGAAATTAGTTAATACAATTTCAGTCAATTCAAAAGTTAGCCTAGTTCATGCTTGGAACATTGATATTTCCAAATTCTGACTAGTGACCATAAATGATTTGCAATGGGAAACCATCCAGCTAATAATACAAAATTCAATTAAATTACTTGTATTACACAAAAAGATGGCATTGCTTCCATACTCTGATTTCATTGTCTGGACTCTGGAGTAGCAATTTTCAATTGCCCTTCTTTTAATTATAGAGCATAGTAGGCAGTTTTGTGCCATACAAGCTCTGCACTATTTTGCTTTATAAGTTTATCCACTGCTATTTATTAATGCTTCTTGAATTTCCTGTATATGCAGTTCTTCAACAGGTCAAAATCAAACTAGTTTTGAAATGGATTCCCTTCATGAAAAACCCAGATCCAAGAAAAGAAAATTTGTTATTGAATCAGTTGAAAATTTGTCTGTGCAAGCCATGTTAGCTCACCCTGCACTGGGTGAGTACAATTTAATTCACTAACAAAAAAATGTAGTAAAGATTTTCTGATCGAATAACTAGCAATCATACTTATGTTTTATTTTAGTTAAAATTTAAATTTTTAGACTGTTGGGTCAAAAGCAAAATGGTTCATTATTATTATTATAACAACTCTTCTCTTTAACTTCACTTCTTGTTTGTTTGTCTGTCTGTCTGCCACAAATCTTGTAATCAAAATTTAATACACATCTACTTATCCTATCAATCTGAAATTTCGCACGCTTGTGTAAAGTTGGAGACAATGCATGAGTCAAATGACAAAATAAATAATTTTAGGAATGCAAACATTTTTTTCCAGTATCAAATAATTGAAAAAATAATTTCGTCAGCTACAAATCTTATAATTAATATTTGACACACTTTTACCTGTCCAATTGATCTGAAATTTTGCACACTTGTGTGAAGTCAGAGGCAATGCATAAATCAATTTACAGAATAAATAATTTTGAAAAAAATGTTTATATATTACAAAAAATTGAAAAATTAATTTTTTTATTCAAAAATATAATGAGAAATTCATTGTACATCTTTAACATTGGAGACACTGGATTCTTTAGAAGTGTTGTCTTTAAAAAGTAATTTTTAAATGTATATTATTTTTACTAGTTATTTTACTTAGATTGTTTATCCTAATATATCTCACATACCTACATGAAATATGAAACATGTACATGAAATTCAATATTATATGCACCTGTCATACACCGCACTATCTCTTGGCAAGACACCGCACTGTCAAAATGAAACTTATGGTAGTACATGAAATATGAAACTTTTTACTAAAGGGAAAATTATGTAATATTGTGTAAATAATAAAATAATTCAGTTAATCTTCTTTTACATATAAGAAATTCAAGACTCAATACTTGTTCTTTATATTGCATGTTACTCCTTTGATAGTGACAAAAAAAAATTTTTTTTTGTTTAGCTACTGGATGCTAATTCATTTGTCATTCAATATTTGGTTAAAGAATCAAAGCTTAAACAACAATGCTCCTGGTTTTGGTTATTAGAAAGTGAACAAGGTGCCCTTCATTTAGCAACTACCTGTAATTTACTGTTGTCCACCAGTTCTTTGAAATGGATCTTGTATTTTACTCAACTTTTAATTTCACAGTGAGGTTTCGCACTACTCCACCTGAGCTATCTTCATTGACAACTACATTGGAGCGTGAACCATACGTTGAAGGAGACCGACCTGGCCGCAAGTATATCAGTCGTTTGACTCTGAATGACATGGATGGGAAAGTGTACAGTGGCCAAAATCAACTCTGCAGACATTCTAACAATGATATTTGCCTTGTTGGCATTGCCAACAAGAAAACAGGTAAGACTGCATTTATTTGTTTGCAAAAGATACCTAATTTCCTGTCCAGTTTAGTGCCAGTCTAGTGACGTTAAGGGGAGCTTCTTGGCCAAGACAAGACTTTTTTTATCTACTGACAGATCATTTTGAAACTTGGTACACATATGTAAAACAGAAATCTGAGACCTTTTTGTTTGTGTAAATTTTTTTGAAAAAAAATGAAAGAAGACATGAAATTCATAGAAAATAGCAAAAAATATAACTCAGTACTCACTGCAGTGAGTGACAGAGAGCGCATTTTCTCGTCGATGAAAACTTGAGGTCACGGACAGACAGACGGACAGACAGACAGACGGACATGGCGAGCACAATAGTGCATTTTTTCCATAAATGAGAAAATGCGCTAAAAAGGGGATACTGTAGAAAACAGTATCTCCTCCTACAATTAATGTGCTACAGCATTGAGAGACATATCATTCAATTTGTAAAAGCCATATCTAGCGATTCACCAATGAATTTTTCCAAATTCATGTTCGTTTAAGTAGGTTGGGGTGGAGGGTTTTCGGGTGTAGCTCAATTTTTGACTCCTCTTCCCCCTCTTTTTGCAAAATATAATCCAAACTATAACAAAATCACAAAAATCAATTGGTCAATTAGATCTTGATTTAATGAATTGAATACTATAGGTATCTCTCAATGTTGTACTTGAAAATCATAGGAGGAGATAAATTTTTAAGATGGCACATTTTGAAAATTAAAATTGTTCAGGGGAGCTAAATAAGTAAAATGTATTGAAAAAGGAAGAATATGCCAAAAAATTACTTGATATTGTAGCCCAAGCTTTCCCATTGCCAGTTAGTTGCATTTAGGGTACTAGCACGCATCTTTAGACTTATTCTTGTCCAGTTTAATGTGAATAATAAGCCATAAACATGACTTTTTTCATATTTTATATATATGAATAATATTCACTTTATATAAGTTCAAAACAGCCTAATGCAAAAAATATTGCATTACATCCCTAGGTATTTGCTTTCTTGAACGTGCATCATTTGTAACTTTCAAACGATTGTAAACACTTTGCAATTAATGCAAATAGTGATTTATAAATACCATTTTTTAAATGAAAATTTGTAAATATTGTTATAAAATGGTCATTTTAAAAAAAATTCAAAACAGCCTTACGCAAAAATTATCGCATGTACATCCATGGTATTAGCTTTGTAGAACACGTCTTGTTTTTAGCTTTCAAACACGTTCAAAATGAGTCAAGAAAACAGAAAAGCCAAATTTATCAAATTTTTTACCAAGGCACTCCCTTTAATATGCCATACAATATATATATATATATATATATAATTTTTCATCTCTTGTGTTGCTATTTGATTATAATTTATGAAAATAACATTTTTATATAAATGAAATGAAAATTTCTAGTAAATTTATCAAAAATTTCCATGGAATTGTAAATCTCAGTTGTGATAGGCTTTTTTCTCACTCGTAATGGGCTTCAATTATGGAATTCGTATTGTGCAAGTACTTCTGACATCTAAGAAGAAAGTTGGCTGATGACCTAATGGAACTGTTATTCTAACCACAAGCAAAACATGCTTTTGACTACTAATTAATTTTATCTTGTTGATGAATTGATATTAATTTCTGAGATGATTGGGAATCATTCTACAGGATCTAAGGGCTCACCATTCACTAATGATTACTACGTATCTTTTCTCTAAGTTGGCAGCAGAATTAGTTGGCCTTGCCTATTTGCCTATTTTTTTCAGACTTCATTATTCCTGTATGAAATACACTTGGATAAATCTTCATGTAGATAAACCATGCTCATTTTTTTTTTAATTTTAAATATCACCTCAAATTTTTTTGTCCTAGTGTGCCTCATCATTTACCTATGCAAACCAAAAATATTTTTTGTTTTCATTCAATAATGAACGATTGACATTTGTAGATGTAGGTAGAAATGAAATGTCAGGGTTGTATTACTCTCACACTTAATTGACAATACAGAAATTTTGATTAACTTTAACCCCTTTTTGGGCTGCATAGGTACAAATTTACCTACACTGGGTATGATTGTACATTCAGAAGATTATGCAACCATATTATTGAACATTTGGAAAAATTGAAACAAGCTTAGTGAAAACATTTCTTGCTTTATATTCATTATGATTGCAAGAACCAATCAAACAAATCTTGACAGGCATATTTTCTTCTGTGTTGAGACATTTGATTGTACTTTTTGATTCAGTTCCATGTTTTCCAGGTAAAATGAGATTATTGGAAGCAGAAGAGTTTCTGGTGAGCCCCGAGATTGATTTAGTTAACAATGAACCAGATGAAGTGAACAGCCCTAAAAAATATAATGCAACTGTCCTCTTTGGAACAAAGAAAAATAGATTGAAACACAAGGTTCTCATGGAAGAAAAGGTGAGTTGTTTTTGATATTCCTGACATGGAAATAAATTGGCTGATTTGCTTAGAAAAATAAACTAGAAATCATTCCATTCAACTGCTTTCTTTAATTTATACCTAGAATATTTAATTCCACATTCATTAAGGCATTTTACCACTTGTCAGGTGAATAGCTGCAGTTATTATTCTGTTTTAGCTTTTAGTAATTAACCTTCCTGCTTCCTTATTTTCAACTAATTATTAAAATGATTGTTGAATTATTATTATTAAACTAATTACTAAAATGAATTTATCAGTGTTGAATGAGTTAAGCAATTGTCACAACAGTTTCAAGTTCACAATTCCAACTTTTTCTATTATATTTCCATGTCATCTGCTAATGGACATAGTAATACGTTAAAAATGATCAGATACTTTAAAAAAAATACATAATTTAAATTTGATAACAACTGTATTTCTGAGAACTGTGCCAGGATATAAAGAAATTAATGTCCTTACAAAGTGAATAAAAATTCACTATTTAAGACATAATAAATAAAATATATTAATATATTAATATGTGTCATAAATATAATATAATACATTTTTCCCGTATTTAAGGAAATGTTGGGCTTACTAAAATGAACCTGGTTGTTACAGGACCGGAGAGCTGCTGAGCTGACAAGCAGTGTGGAGAAAGCCCGTCCCCTGATTGAGAAAACAACTTCCGTTGTCACAAGCAGTTCTTCGGATAACTCTTACTTCTTACCCCCCATCAACACAAGTGTGAGCTTTTACGTCCAATTAGCATTACAAATTTATAGTGGTAGGGATGGAACTGATAGTGTATTTATTTCATTTTTCCTTTTGAGTGAGTTAGACACCACCTTAGCTGAACCGACCTACGTTTACCTACGGCCATCTGACTGAATAATGCAAGGATGAAGGTGGCTTTGTATTATTTTATTTGAATTCGTCTATAGCGATATTATTGTGTGTTGCTTGCAAGGGAAAAGATATGCTTGTTTAATTTGCTTTTATGTATAGAGCTCATTGTGTGGAAGTTCATTTTCCTCTAAGTTAAGCCAGAATAATTTTTGGTTTTAATGTTCATGCTAATTCGTTGGGTGAGAGGCAAAGTGCTTGTATGAATGTTTTTCTTATTATGGCCTATGTAGTAACTATTAATCTTTCAAATACTCCTTAAAGTCATCTGGAGCTTGGTCGATTATCATCATGACAGCTGGCATAACATGATAACAAACACATTATTTGTGTTCCTGAATTAATTTGTATACACAGTCATGATATTTTGGCCAATGAACCATAGCTGTATAAAAGTAATGTTTATATTTTTTGTTAAACAACTTGTTCCATTGTAGTATAAAAAATTGGTTTAATGTTGAGTTGAATTTCGTACGACAGGCCAAGACGGTGGACGAAGTGTACAACATGAGTGACATTGTAGAGGACTACGTTCTGGAGCATCTCATTGATGAAGCATCTGCGCTCCTGGAAACCAAGGGCCTGGATACTGAGAAGTCGGTTGCTATAATTTCCTTTATCATGGTTATTATCCATTACTTTCTGTCATTCATGCAACAAAAATGCTGATGTCGATCATGCTCATTTTCATTAATTACATGGTGCGCCTTACAGCTTTGTTATTTGAGAAAGATCTGTGTCAAAGTAATACTACATATTTATTGTAATTTAATTTGTATGTTCAATTTTTTTATAATTGTCTTGGATCCAGATATTTTGTGCTTTTATTATTTAGCTGAGCTTTACCATTTAATTGGGGCTGTACCGTACTATCAATTATCGCTTAAGTATATGTAGCAACCGATCTCCCGTATGTGATTTATTGTCAGTGATTGATTGATGGAGTAACAAATTCGTAACTATTTTTGTAAGTATGGCTCCAGAGCTCATAATCATGAAATGGATTTCCCTGACAGAGTAAGACCGCTGTTCATGCAGTGTCTGGCGGGTGCAAGACTTGAGACAGACGACGAAGGCCGGCTACGTTATGCCTGCGCTGCCATCTATGTCGAGTATCTCTGCAGGATTGTGTCTGGAGTTGATCTTCCGCTTGACAACATGGATGATGCTGTCGTAGAGCACCTTAAGAACACCTACAAATTGACTAAAAAGTTAGTATGGGAAAACAATTGTAATTTAAATAAGGAACCTCAGAGCATCAGAAAAACACCTACAAACAGCCAAAAAAGGTAGTAAGGACACGCAATTTTAGTTTAACTGTCTATTTGAGGACCCTCTTCCTTGTCTCCAAACCCTGTAAGTTAGTTCAAGAAAGCAAGTGTCAACATATTCTTTGAGTAATTGGACTCATCTCTAGTTTGCGTGCTTCAAACTACACGTCTAATATTAAAACACACAGGTTCTAACAGTAAAACATGTATCCGCTATTATATCTAACTTCTCGCCTAAGCTTGGATCACATACCGATATAATTGCACCAAATAATTCTGATTCTGAATTTAGTATTTCAGAAGTTTGTTTCAAGTTTAAACTTGTATACGAAGCAGCTGGAGAGCAGTTAGTGCTCACTATGCTTGCTGTAGCACGAGTTTCATGATGGTATGTGGATGATATTAAAGGTAATTAATTATCTTATGTATACATATGGAACCAAAAATAGTGGAAATATTCATAAACAAAGACAATTTATCCAAGTTTTCAAAAATGTTGCAAAACTTTATTTTGGAGGCTAGGGTAATACCAGAATATGCAATAACTTTTTTTTTTTTGACGCTGTACACCGCGCGATCATTACGATATAAATAAACAAGACAACAAATATAGCATATGATAGAAATAAAATAACATATAAATAAAATAAACAATGCACAATTAAATATTTAATTAACTAAAATAATTCATATTTGCAGAGCACGATTCTTGCCCCCGGAAATGATTCACAAAGCCTTAGCAAATATCATGCAAAAATTTGAAATATTTATACGAGTAAATTTATCAGGTAATTTTCTATACTTTCTCTTAGTGGCTCAGGAATTCTATGCTTAATTAAAGGGTTAAATTAACAAGTTAAATTCATTTCCTTTGCACGAAAAATTGATTTTTTTCACAAAAATGTGTTCAACATATCCACCAAAAATGTTCAATTTAATTATGTTTATTTGGAGCGGAGATATCAGTTGAAATCTCAGGGACATTTTTGTCGGAAACCCTGCATATGGTAATGTCATCTTCACTGAATCGTAGCAATTAAAATTCATTTTGGCTTCGATCATGACGAATCCAGGATTTATTTTCTCAGTGTAAATCCTTTGTCTAAAGTAATTCTGTTTTTCGTCGTGGCTACATAGATTATTTTACGTTTTAATATCAACGAAGACGGGGTTCTTCTTCTTTGTTTTAAATTAACTCTGCATTTCGTATTGCTTATGTTTGAAAATGGATAATTCTAAAGAGCTCTTGAAAATTTATTACTTGCCTTTTAGTGCCTTACACAAAAATTTAGTTTCCGCACTTCTCCAAGCCAGCCCATATTATTGTGGTTACCTAGCGAAATTTTTTGAACATTAAATTAAAAATACAAAGCTCCAATAGCCAAAATTTATTAAACCTCGCATCAAGGTTCGCTTGCAGAATATCGTTCGGTATTTGTGTAAAAATGAACAGCTTTTGAGTATACCTTTCATGATTATTAGATTAATTCCTATTCATCCTTCGACTTTCGCGCTTTCAAATGGCGTAGGGTTGATTATTGATTCATTTAAAACGTTAATATGTCGTTATTTTTTCTGTAGATATTGAAGGAAAATGGATTCGTAACTGTTACGAAAACATGACATTGTTTCGCAGATAAAAAGTTGTCATTTGTTCCAGACTCCTGACGATGGTGCAGTTGCTGCGCGTGAAAAAGACATCCACGCATATTGTGATTCAGCTTCCTTTGCCATCTCGCGAAGCATCATCGGTGAACAAAATTTCAGTTTTCGCCAAAAAGAAAAAATGAGCATCGGGTAACTCGTAGTAAAGCTCCTACTCAATCGACGTTTGGTCTAGTTTACCCTCGATTTATTACGTATCAAATATAATATCGTGAAGGAGTTATGTAGCACATGAAGCATGTGTAGAGGATGATTAACACATTCTCGTATCAGTACTTTAATTCGTGAATTTATACCAAGATGAGGCAACTTCTTATGAACTTACAATGGCTTTCCTTAGCGGCTTAGAATAAAGTTAGCCAATTGCTGCTGCCGTCGTATAGACACGGCACCAACATTAGAATATAGTACACTTGCAGACATGAGCGAGACTGTCCACATATCGATGCATTTTTTTTGCCCTTGCGTGGGCCATCCTGACCCGGTTTGGCCAGGCACAAGGGCGTATCAGTACTAATTGCAGAAAATATCTATACGTGGACATTATGACTTATTAATTTCTGAGTGATGGACGTCGACCGTCGTTGCAAGTGAAATATAATACGAGTTACGGATGTGAAATACACGGGGTATTCCACATGTAAGGCAATGCTGCTAATATACATGTTAAATTTGTATAATTTAGGTCATACGAACACGCCCAATGGTCATTCTCTTTTGTACAGCAGTTACAATGAGCACAAACTGAATACAATTCGAATCATTATACAATGAAGGGAATTTTCTGCAGAATACGGTTGGCGAAGAAAGCTTTCTCGAGTACGTGAAAGTTCCGAACCTTACATTTTCTTATCAATTATTTCTACATGCGATGGTGATTACACAGCTACCTACTCCTTCGCTGCATCAGTGTGGTCATTATCCAACAGCCGACTATATAGCCAACTATTCCTATACTGGACCAATGTAGTTATACACATACAAACTTATTCGGAATCCATGACGACTTACGAACGCTTTACATTGTAACGAACCTGTTAGTTCTTGTTCTGTATGCCAGCCAAGCCGAAAAATTGAAAATAACAGTTTGTTAACATAAATCAACGACCTTTCATTCGTTTTAGTTGGCTTAATTTACATAAACGCATCTCGCAAACATCGGAGATGCATAATTTGTCTTTTTTCTTTTCATTATCGAGTCTGTGAAATAGCTTCAGCATAATTAATTTCTTAGCAATTTTCTAAAGCCATGATTAGCAGCTTAAAACTCATAGTTGAGATGTTCACAACCTTTTCTCACTTCGTCGTATATACCTCAATGTTCTGACGTTGATCAGCCGTTAAAGTCCAATATGATCGCTACACGAACACGTTTGTCAAAGTTAACGCATGTTATATAGTTCATAATATTGCACCTGAAAATACAAATAAACAGGATCAAACTTTCGATTTCAGCCAATTAGCAGAAAACGAATTACATTCGTTTTGACTGAGTAACTGACATTGTCGCTCAGATGCTTCAGATTCATGATTACGAACTAAATCATGAAAAAAATGTACATAGAAAGACACACAATGTCAGATGGGCGTCTTTCAAATTCTAGAAATGATAAACTTCCCATAGAAACGTGTGAAAAAAATTATTCTTGAATGTTTCAGGGATCGTTCGGCCCTTGACAGCCATGAAAGAGCCGTGTCGTTACATTGGTCTCATGTATTTTTTTTTAATCCGATCAGAAAGCGCTTGATAGCAAATAGCCAAAAATAGAGGAGCAGTTTGGTAGGGACGCAAGTTTCAGTGATAAGTAGCTTCATCAACAAGCGAGTAAAGTTTGATGAGAGCTAATATGACAAGAATATTCAACCTACGAGTATATGCAGCACAGGTATAAAACCAGCTGCCTGGAACAGAAGCACTGTCTCAGTACCAGCTTTGATCTAGACATTGTTAAGCGACATCTTTTGTGTCGGCTGAGTATAAAAATTGCGGGCAAAATTTAACTTCAAAAGAGCAACAGAATAAATAATTCTACAAGATTTTAAAAAGGATTTGCAATGAAAAAACAACGTGCAAACAAATGGTCATAGTTAACTACAAGCACAATGAGGCTGCTTATGATAGCCTTTGCATAAAAAAGGCCATCGTTCAGCGTTGTGCACCATACTGCTTTGCTAAATTATGCCAAAGCCGATCTTCTTATTTCTGTAATTGATAAGTAGCAGGAAATGCCTGATAAAAGGAAACTAGAACAGGCCTTATTAATCGGAATATTTTTGGACAGCAATTTTCTTTTAGAAATGTTTAGACCATAAAATTTAGATCCTGTCGGGAAAATTAAATGGACACGATAATTATTCAACCAGGTACTTGACCGCGTTTGAAGAAAATAATTCTTTACTATTTTCAGCAGTGAATATCCTTTTTCTCTGATCTGAACTACAGAAATGTGCACTTCGTTAGCCACGAGCCATTTAATGCCAGAACTTGCGTCAGCTTCGACAATGTTCGTTCAGACGCTTGTTCTAGAATAGTAAGAAAATTAGGTAATAAGTTCTAGCTACAAGTTTGCTACTTGGCCCCGCAGCCATTCAAATTGACCGTCATTTAAGTCCCAATTGATTTTGTCACGTAAATAATGTACCAGCCGTGAATAATCAGTTATACAATCCTGCACATACGACCAGCATGAACATGGGGGCGGACACTCAAAACTTCAGACGGTCACCGTAATGGTTTTAAGTCTATGATTTAGAGGCCGATGCCTGGATCTTGGTCAACTGCTGGATGAAATATGCGTCGATTATTTAGGAGCCAAAGGCCCGAAAAGAACGAAATTTAGCCACCGGACTAAATGCAGTCCAGCGCGCCGTGGGACCAACAACACTTGGAACATCCAAATAAAAAAAGAGGGATAAAGGCCTCGACATCAACTAAAATTATCCGCTGATGGGGATGCCTTCTGGGGTTGCAACGGGTGGGGTTTCTTCGCTCTTATCCATGCTATAGCGTCCCTCGTCCTCGCTGTCTCCTGACGAACCTTTCCCCGCCTCCGGGGACGCTAGACCTTCAGTGAGCTGATCGGTATCCCCGCAGCTCTCCTCGCTCCCCGACTTGGTGAGGGGGACTGTCGCCGATGGGGGGGAAATAGGGGACGGCGAGGATGGGGAGCTTGAAGGAGCAGCCTCCGCTCCAACGTCACTAACTGTTATCTTCTGGAGGACGGTCAAATCGCCTGAGAAAGATCATTATTAAGTGAGCGTTCACCTGGTTAATTAATGAATTTTCAATGCTTTGAAAAGCCAATTAAAGAAATAAATAATACCTATCCAACTCTGATGTCACCAGAAGATTGCGATGCGATTTTGAAAGTACTAGAAACATTTCTCTTCACTTAAAGAAATGATTCATTTTCAATGCATGATGAAGTAAACTAAAAAAAACTGCCCTCAACGCGAGACGATGAAGATGCTGTACAGAAAGTTGACATCCTTCAAATGAGATTTCATTTCCCCAGCAGCTATTGAAGAATTGAACGCTCATACACTTTGATGAAACCTATAATTTTTGACTTAGCAATTGTAAGCGTCACTTTAATGGAGGCTAAACCAAGATTACACACATTATAACAATGTGTGTAATCGCTTGCCACTCAGCGCTAGTGTCATGGTAAATACAATTGCATAAGAATTGTAGACAAGAACTCATGATGATTAATGATAAAAATGCTTACAAGTTGATCTCATTGTGATTTACAAAAAAAAAGGTTTATTCCCTAAGCCAGTATGCGTTCTTGGTACAAATTAACACAACAAAACGGAAAGATATGAGATAAAAGAACGACAAAATGAAAAAGATACGAGATACAAATACAACAAAATGGCAATGATACAAAGATACAAGAACGACAAAATTGAAAAGATACAAAAATGCAAATACCAGAGAATGGCAATGATATACCGTATAGATAGAGGAATGACGAAGATATCAAAGATATAATGACAAAATGCAATGATTGAGTTATACGAGTCGCTTGCGGACTAACCACTTGGCTTCAGGACGAGTTCCTGAAGGATATCCGAGAGTGAGATCACTCCTGTGACCTTCCTGGCTCCATCGACTACGACCAGCCTGTGGACCTCGGCTCGCACGATCCTATCCATGACGGTGCACAGACGCTCGTCTTTGGTGCAATGTTGCACGCCTTCGAACCATTCGTTGCGAGACTCGTTAGCTTGTCTCAGCGTCACGTTCAAGTTGCTGTAGGTGCCTTCTGCTGCAAGATTCTGCAAGGTACGTCGTGATTTGAAAGCGTGTACCGTATATAAAATTTTAAATCCCGCATCAGCTGGATTCTGCAAGAAATTTTTTGACTTTGTATCGTATTGACAGTATTTGGATTTACACGCCTGCAAGATTACAAGATTATGCAAGAATAGCCCCTGAAATCGTACGTTCGTACGCACAGATGGCAATGGGAATCGTATCAACAACTTCTAAAATCAAGTGTCTGCAAAATTCGAAATCAGATAACATGCGGAATATTATGAAAAATTAAAATACTAGTATCAAATGCATAAGATAGATAGTATCGTGAACAAAAAGTTGAAAATTATTCCCGCAGTCGACTGTCTAATAGGTTCCCTTGCGTCACGCAATAAGTATTTTTGATCTCAATACCGTTTACGAGGCAAAATATTCTACATCATACGCAGAAGCTGTAATATTTGTCAAATCCTCAGACACAAACAGTTAATACACGTTAAAAATTGTAGAAATAAACCCCCTCAATGTTAATAAATAATAATATTCGAATACTAGACTTGTAATGCACAAAACAGTCCTCGTCACAAGCTCGTCTCATAGACAGCAGAATCGCAAGTGTAACTAAAGAATCAAAGTCTTACTTCAAAAACTCGCATCACTTCAGATACTCACGATGACGTCAAACTTGGCGTAAATATCAATGAGCTTTCCGTCGCTGTCGACGATGGGCAGCGCAGAGACTCTGTGCTTCACGAACTTGTCGAGAGCTTCAATAATTAAAGTGTCAGGGGACGCGGTCACGATATTTGTGTATGTGCCGATACCTAACTCGGCTAGTGTCTTCTGCAGCACTAGGGGTTTAGGTAGCTCGTTTATCTGCAATAAAGTAATTTTTGAACATAGGACCAACAAATTATGAGGTGATTAAGTGGGTTACTACAAATTTGTTTAACTGGAAAAAGGTGGTTGAAAAAGATGCCACCCTCAGGTGTAATGTTTCCAGCAAGTAATTTGAACCAACAAGTGATTAGGGAGAAAGATAGTAAAACAGTAAGTAGCAGTAAGAATATCTTTTGTAAAGTTGCTTAAATATATCCACTTTAAATTTTGTTGCCGGTACAAAGTTTGTATTAGACTTTGCTTCAGAAATGTGACCGATCATTGGGCGACATAGTTCGATCAATATAACGAAAAGCATCTCAATTGTGACACTTAGTTTTATAATAAAGAATCATCCATCTGAACTTTACACGAATTAAGAAAGAGATTGTTTGGTCCGAAACTTGATGCAAGACGAAATGTTTTTAATTCCAGTCCCGAAAACAAATCGCTTTGATACCATCTCAGATAAATAGCTGTAGCTCTCAATTGCAGTTTAATAAAATGTCCATAATTGTCACAAATTCTCATGAAGATTAATGATTGCCTTTATTTAGAGATGTAAACAAATACCTTGAACTTACATAAAGATAAAGAAACTTGAGGATCCTCTTGTGGGTGATGATGTAAAGGACGTTGCCGGTCGCAGGATCGATGACGGGAAGTCTGTGGATTTTATGATGGATGAGCAGCCGTATCGCCTCGTAGAGCGACGCTTCAGGGTTGATGTTGATGAAGGGTCGGTCGTCGTCTTTAAGGAACGCTGCACGACACAGATATAAATGAGGCATATGATATAAATAAAAAGTTTGACTGATGAAATTGATAGTAGAGATTCGCATATTTTTAGCAAGATCCCAAATCAGTATTCGAAACCAGTGCTCACCACCAGAATCAACATAACAGCTAAAAAAAACAATAACTAGCGAACTAAAAACAAGGGTGAACTGATCAAATTTCTGATGAGGGCAAGTTTCGATCATATATTAAAGGTCTGATTGAGGTTGACTAAAGCGCGCGCCAATCGTTCGACTCAAGCTGCTCGATCATTTAGGGGCTGCTTTATTAGCTATGCATATATGAACTGACTTCTCCACATATGCAGTCTGTGGTCCTCCAAGTTTTCCATCTGTGGGTCCTGGTTGAGGTGGAAGGAGTGCAGGATGCGGATGAAGTCTGTGATGGTGAGCATCCCCACGAACTTCTGCTTGTCTCGGTCCCACAGCGGCGCCGCTCGAACGCCGTTGTGAACCAGCGCGTAGAAAGCCTGGACACAACAAGGATTCAAGTGTAAAAAAACTTATTTTAGTTGATAAAAATACAACCTACAGCCCGACGCAAAAGGTTAGCCCCACCCCTTTAAAACATCATAACACATCGAGTTTTGCCAGTTTTAGCGTGCAAATGGTGGCAAACGAATCGTCTTGGTCTCAGTAATCTATAGCGGGTGAAATTTGGTGAAAAAGGTAATTACTGGCGGAAAAATCAAGCGGTCCGTGTTTTTTGCACCGACGCAAAAGGTTAGCCCCACTTTGCAAGTTTGGCGCTCTTGCGGACAGGACGCAGCGTAGACTCGCTGCAAAGGGTGCGTTCATAGAGTAGTAGTTGTGCACGGATCTTATGCTCACCTAGGCAAGAAATGGGCGCGGGAAAGCCTCTAATTGAGTTTTAGAAAGGTGCCATTCAAGCCCTGATGGCGCTGCCTGTGGGAGAGCGTCCTAGCCTGCGTCAAATGGAGGCACAAGTGGGGTGTAGCCGCAAAGCCATCTCCAACTACCTCAAGGACCCCGTGAATTACGGAAAGCGGCACACCAAAGGCCGCCCCAAGAAGATGTCGGCCCGTGACACGCGTCGCCTCTTCCGAGTTGCGGCGCCCGGCGACTTGAGCGCGCCCAAAATAGTCCAAAAGTTGGAGCTCAATGTCTCCAATACTGTAGCTAGAAAAGACCGCTTTCGGATCTAACATACATTCACTATAATGAACATTTATTATAAAATACAAGCATTCATGAACATGTAATCAAACATACTACATTCACTACAAAGAATTGAAAAAATATATGAATGCGAAATTTAGTAAACTTTTCTGTACCAAAATTTGAAGCAGGGTAACTCATTCATCCACATGAGTTACTCAAAGTACAACTTAAATAAAGTGCATCAAAGAAGAAAGAGTTCGAATGAAAGATATTTCATTCATTATCAGAGAACTTGACGTCAGTACACCACGTCCAATTATCACTAAAACAACTACATTCAGCGTCATAAAGATCCCGAATGATAAGTTTCCATCTGAATTAAAAATTAGAATACTATTTTAAACTTGACCGCACGCCAACTTATTACGAGCTAACCATTACAAATATTATTCAAATTTTTTCCTTAGTACGAATCACGGGGAAACAGGAATGTGAACATGATTTGGACAGCCATGTAAATTCAAACACAAACCATTATGAAACGCTTCTCATGCAGAACTTTCCTTATAGCGACTTTAATTCGACATCCGACTAAGAAAATACTTCAAACTAAACCTGAGAGGAAATAAAAATTGTTATTAAATCAAATGCAAGCCAAACCTTTTTGACTTGAAGGCTGGTGTCGAATATGACGAGTTTGGCGCTGGTAGGAATGAGATCATGACTGCGGTGCAGCTGGAAGAATTTCATGAGAATTTTGGACTCGTCCTCTTCTGAAATGTGAAAAAGAACACATTATACTACAGTAATTGAACAATACAATCGGAAATTGATTTAAAAGGGGCAAAATATGTTCTAATATTTATAAACGCAAACCAAATGAGAGTTCGATGTTTCATATAAAATATGTGAGTAAACAGGGCTTTCTTTATTACCATACATTAGCTTTAATTTTATTAATGAGATGCGGAAGAGAGGAAATGACTAAAATTGTATAAATTATTGAGCCCGGTTAACGCCGGGCTAACCTGCTAGAATAAAATAAAGTGAATAAAAAAAGGGAGTGAATTATTTATTATCAAGGAAATAATATATATTTTTTAAATATAGTAGAGGTGTAACTGCCACATTTTTAAACACAAGCAATTCACCGTACCAATATCTAATTTGAATTTCAGATCAGTTCCTAATCATGTCAGATTTTCATGGAATAAAAAAAATCCTACTAAAATTTTCATGAATTTGCGTCCCAAATACACGAGGAATAGCGACTCAAATTTCAATGCACTTCTGAAGTACGTTTCGCCTCGAATCCCCATGAACGAACGACCGGAAAACATGTGCGCGTTTCAACTGCTCGAATATTCTCCCGATCTTCCGAACCAAGAAATATGCCAAAAAACAGAGGTATTCGGAGCACTCTACGAAGTCTTCAAAATATTTACGATAGCGAAAGGCGAATACCGCGCGCGTTGCAACGGCCTTGCCAACAACTGCCGTAGGCTGACTGAGTCGACCGAGGCAGCGCGCAACTGCGAGTGACACGAGCGTAAACCGCGACCGAGAGATACTTCTGAACTAACTCTTTTATATTTACTGGCTGTACCTGAGAGATTTATGCGCTGTACGTCACACACAAATTGCGAAAAATAGATCGGAAATATTTCCAGGTTATAATAGAAGTTATGTTTAACCTTCTTCGCCATAGACGCTTTAATATACTCTGAGAAAGAAGTTCGGACAGACACAGGTCAATGTTTGACAGAGGCGGGAGACGGAAATGAATCTATTCCGCGGATGAAGAACGGAAATAATAAATTCCTGGCAGCCGAGATGAAATTGAACGAACGTACATCTCACTGAAGGAAAGTGAATAGATGGATTCCTGTACGAGGGAGATGAAATAACACGTATGATTTTCGTTACATACGACATCACTTCGCTGCAGAACAAAGCCTGGTGAATAAACTTTAAAAATATATGAATATTGAATAAATGAAGTAAACTGCGTACCCGACAAACGAAAAATTTTACAGAAACGTCTCTTCTAATGATCGAAAACATGCAAAATAGCATTTCATGCGCTCACCGATAATGACACACGATGAATAATTTTGCCACTGAATCAGAAAAAGTTAACAATCATGAGCTTCAGAAATTTTGAAATCACCGTTAATCCTATATTAAAACTGAAAAATTACTGGCCCTGTCAATCAAGTAAGATCCCAACTGGCGAATGCAACAGTAACGGCGTTATCTCTCATAGAAGTGACATATATGTTTGGACGATCTTCAGCAGAAATCTTTACACATAACAATAAGCTCCTACATAAATATCTACAATATTTATCAATGAAAGTTAGGTTTAAACTAATTTTCTGTGTATTCAGCACCTCACTGAAGTTTTTTCATGACCCAAGGAAATTAAATAATTTGTAGAAGAAATTCATTTAAAAAATTTGAATAAAATTTAATTTGAAAATCAGACCCTTTCCTTCAAAACATTATCCCGCTCGAAGTTTAATTGAAGTTTGGCCGTCTGATTGAAATCCCATATCCCGTAACACGCTTTCCTAATCATTTGAATTCATGAAAGAAAATAACACAACTTTCTTCAAATGATGAAAAAATACGGATTTGGTTAATGAAGCCGCGATTGTAAATTCTTTGAAACGTCATGAATGATAATCGACGTCACGAAAGATATAAGAACGCGGCACCGAATAAAAAAAAACAATATAAATTTCTTCTAAGCTATAACTTCTTCACTTAATCAAACAGGGCTACATTTTCCCGACCTTTCCATAGTTGGTAGAGAACTTCTTTTTCATCATCAAAGTTGATGGGTGGGAATACCTTAATTTGCGATAGTAGGTACTCTTCACATTCTAAATCTTCTAGACAGTCGATGAAATTACTGTAGGTGTACAAGCTCACGGTCATCGCAGCGGCACCACTGATGCTGTTACACAAGTCTTTAAGATGTTCGATCACAATGACCCGACCGCAGTAAAATAATGGTATTCGATATTATAAATATTTTTCATATGTTCAAAGCGAATTTCATGTTGAAAACGGCGATATTGACCGATATCGATGCACAGGTTATACAATCTGTTCGTAAAATGGAGAAAAAAATATCAAAAACTTCTGGCTCGAAATGCATAAACTTCTGCATACTCAAAACCTGATAAATAACTATGAGCCCTAAAATGCTTCTATTCATTGATGTCGAAATAAATAATGAAAATAGTATAGAAATAACCATTAATGCACAACTTTTCAATAATTTGTATATGCTCTAATAAATACTTTCAGAGCGGATAAGTGCTACCCGCACTAGACCTAATGATGAACACTATACGGTTTGTTCTGCGTAGTACTTCATAATTTTGGCAGTTCTTGCCATAAATGCCGCAGCAGGCGACGCATCTGTTGAAAGTTGAGGTCATGTAGTTTAAAGCATCAACAATAAACAGACGTGTCGCCTGCTTCGGCATTTATGGCGAAAACTGCGAGGGAAGCGAAGTGGACGCGAAACAAACTGCAGTGTTTTCCGCATGGGAATTTATCAAATTGACCACTCAAGATACAAGCAATAATATGGTCGGTAATAAAAAAGTGAAAAGTGGCAAGACCTTATATTCGTTTTCAAAATAACGATCTAATGATTTTAGTACCGATATTGGTGGCGGTATGTTTACTAACAAATACGCCACCAGATGCGGTGTCACGGTAGTCACCAATAAGTCACTTAGACACAAGCTCACTCAAATTCATACCCTTAAATTTCATCATTTTAATGTTCCAAAGATTGATCAGTTAACCCAATATTTTTTTAAACAGTAGGAATCATAATTTTCAGAGCATCTTTCATAAAGTTTTTGTTTTTGATGAGTAGGAAATAAATCAACGCATTTTTGCTTGGAAACTCTCTGCGATGATTTAGTTAACGAGCCACCTGAGATTAACCATTTCACTCATTTGATTAAACTAAAAGACAACGCGGAGGAAGACGACCGAGAGTAGAAAAGTTCGTCTAGAAAAGTTCGTCAGCGCCGATGGAGCGGTGCTACTAGGATAAGACATGCCCCATAGCTGGCACTGCACTACAGCAGCACAGCCTCGAAGCTGGCACCACACTACAGCAGCTGGTGCGAACTGCAGCCAAGGTGAGGGAGATATGCACGATGGTTGCACTTGTCGTCTGCTAGACATGGCGCGTTGCCCAGGCGTCTTATGCTATACTTTCGTCTTATACTACATCATGATTATAAATCAAAGGAGCGCACGGTGAGACTCGGCGACTCGCAGTTGTCAAGCTTCGTTCAATATAAAAAGGTCGGCTGCGCACGCGTCTTTACAATTTCGGCGGAATGCTCGACTGCCTCGACAAATATTAAAATATTAATAACGACGATCTAAATGATTATTTTTTCTTGATTGGCGTAAAGATATTCTCAACTGTAGTTTATAACAGTATCGGGCTCTCAAATCAGCAACAGCCATCTACCATCGAGTCTGGTGGCCATCGTTCCTAATCATGAGAAAATTGTTGAAGATTGAATGACATTCACGAATTATGATGTGGGTAATTCATTTAACCGCGCTGCCAAAATTTGCAACGTCACCAGCAAGTCAAATTACTACAAACGTAAGTGACTGAAATTCACGCCTGACGAGATTACTTCGCGAAATTTCTCGCCACACTGTCGATATAACATCGCGCGAAGTAACCATCTTAAAAATTACAGCAGGTTTCAAGGCATTATATCTAATTGGGTAAGGATCAGCTATTGCGTCCAATAGGCAATAATTCGGAATGACAAGATTACCGACGTTACGAATTACAGCAAAGATGCGCGAGGTTCCAGTGGAGCAAAGGGCCGGAGTTCAGCGAAAATTTTATAATGTATTTGAACCATTGCGTACGAAGTTGCAAACGAACACTTATCGCGGCCCTAAATTTCAAATGGGGTGAGTCGAAACTGAGAACAACTTGCGCAGTCATATTTAAATGAAAGCTTAATATGCATGAAATCTACCGAATTCAGTCAAGGTTGTGTTAAAAATTGTATAAATCAAGAGCGTATATGAAAACTTATAAAATGATATATACATGATAAGTAGAGCGGCAGCGGTGCAGTCTTGGAACTCCGCCATCACTACGAACAACATCCCAGCGATGTCAATCACGGCAGGCATCACTGTATTGCAACACGCAAGTTACAAACCCAATGATATTTTATAATAAGTTAAATGTATCTTAATTTAGATTACCGTGTTTCTCGTTTCGTCGAAAATGGGAAATATTTTCCGATTTCCCCGGGAATAGGGGAAATGAAACTAGAAAAAAATCATTAGAATGAACTAAAAAGGAATCTAGAAGGAAATAAAGCTAAAGAACGAAGACTTCGAGATAAAAAAAAATCACGACTCTGTCGACTCTGAAATGACCGCGCATTAAAACTTCTTGACAATGAAATAATTAAAAATGACAAAAAAATGCACACATCTTGGATCTTCGAAAACAGAATATCTTAAAAAATAATCACTTCTGATCAAAATATATATAAAAAGGCAGGATTAAACCATAAATGGTACAACCCTGCCATACATTAACACACAATGCCCCGCAAGCAGTGCCATCGACCCCCACTCAGCCACGGGTTGGCACTGACCTTCGAACCTTGGACAAGCGTACGCATGTTGAGACCTCAGCCGCACGCGATGAATATTATTCACTATTAATTGATTCACTCCACAAAGCTGAATAATAACCAATGCGGTATTTTTAATCAATCAATGATGTATACTGTTAACATCGTGAAAACTTAATCGTGATGAGTTTACAAATTAATTTCGCGAAGGATCACTTTGAAATTCACAACGGTTACATAAATGAATTACATCAAAGAAGATTGGTCATCAGCGAACTCACTTGTATACTCACCCATGACGATGAGTGTATGTACAGCTCCATCCAAGAAGAAGCACGCCATGAAAGCTTATATGTATCACAATTTTAGCTATTTACAAAACACTGTAACAAAAAAAACTTGTCCCAAAATACGTTCTAGACCACATTAATTTTTAAAATAAATTTCATATATGTGGAATGATCAAGTGAAGCCGTTTTAAAAACGAACCGTACCTAATATCTTCTCAAATATATTGCACGCCTAGACCAGCAAGTTATTTACCCAAAACAAGAAGAGTGCTGCTTTCACACACTTCTATTGATAGCTTAGATACTGACAAGGCACGTAAATCTCACTAGACAGAAGCGAAAATAACAATGTTTCCCAAGGATGCGCTAATATACCGGAAAATATGAAAAATAATTGTTCGAATTTAACTTTTTCTAAGCTTTTTCGAACATCGCCAAGTTTGAATCCAACAAAAATTCTACAACGGCTACGATGAACATAAGTTCACAAAAATGACAGTCACGGACTGAAGCCTGCATACAACACACGCAATCACTGCCACAGTAAACAATATACTGGCCGAGCAACGACCACACAGCTGATATCTCGTCTCAGTATTGCTAAGCACGGCCGCTAGAGGGAGTCAAGTGCGTCAGTTATCTCATGCAATGATGGCTCTATCTTTACTGTTTACCATAAACATTCGTGTGATAAGGTACAAACCCCAAAAAATGACCGTTTTTCTATTATATCCGAACAAAACAAATTTACCGTTCAGAAGTGATAATAAATAAATAGCCAAATTTGTTGAGCTGCACAGTATAAAATACAAAACGTCTACACGTTGTAGAGGTATAATTAAGAAATGGAGCGAAGGAAATGATCGTTGCACGAAGGATTGTTGGTGCAAATGAGGTTAGCAGGTTGCACTGGATAGAAGGATGGAAGGATATAATGGAGTAAAGGTAGCATAATAAGTAGCATCATTCCCGTCATAATAAGTAGCATGAAGAAGATGCAATTTTCATGACAACATAAAGGGTAGAAAGCACCTGAAGTTATTTAATTGGAATTGATGGAGTATTTCTAATGCCTATTGGTAAGTTATTAAAATTCCGTATATTTTGATGAAATTAATTGCAGTTGTTTGTAGAGATCATCGTTCAAATGAGATTGAATTTGCCCCTACGAAATTCAACGAAACTACACATAGGTTAGATGATTTGCACACGTTTGATATTATGATTATAGAATTATATGAGGCTAGTGATCAATGAATTGTGATGCATGCGATAAGTATTTAATACATCAATTGCAATGTTTCCTCCACCATATTCCTTCACCCGCATACTCTCAACCGCATGAGCGCATGCTTCAGTGGAACACCAGCTCAATAATGTTATCAGTCCGCATATTAGAAGCAATTAACTCTATTGTCTCCATAATAATGTCGGCTGGAGGTATTCGGTTTTGATAATGGAGGTATTAGGCATTTGTAATGGTGGTATTGGGCTTTAATAAATAATGGAAGTATTAGGCTTTCGTAATGCAAGCATTTGGGTTTAAGTATGGAAATATTCGGCTTCAATAACGGACGTGCTAGACATTTTCAACTAGGCAGGCGACGACTTCTTATCAGCAGCGCGGTGAGCTACAGCCCTTATCTGGCCAGGCAATATCTCAAACGTTGCTGACGGCAATGCAATCATACGCGGGGCACACGGCTGCGACAATCTCGGCCATTTTTCGCAGATTACGAACACGATGGAATTGGCATTTTTCTAAGATGAAACGGATGATTTTCCGACCTCCAGATGGAGCAGGACTCAGAACGAAATGGTGAATAATTGGGGCTTTTTTTGCCTCGATTAAATTCCCCATAAATCACCTCTTATAAAACAGTTTTCTCGTTCAGCAGCCTCTATACAATCGACGAATATGGCTGATACGGTCACCGTATACCGCGTAAATAACACTAAGGAGGTGCTTGGCTTGTTAGATGTAGGTACTTACTGTACTAAGCCTGACACTGCAACAATGTTTTAAACTTCAAACTGGTCTTTGAACCAAAATAACTCTTGGTTCAAAGACCAAAAATCGGTGTAACTGTAGGTTCTCTAATAAAACAATTATTATTATTACAGAGCGCGGTAAGTTAAAGCCCAGACCAAAGGTGAATAAATACAAACATAAGCGAAATTGCGGGGGTGCCTGATACGAGAGGACTGAGACGTGTTCTCAGTAACACGCATCCGCCGTTACTGATAAGCTTTGATAACAATTTTCTTGTATTAGATACTAGGAAAGCACCGATTCAATATACCTATAAATATTTTTAGACTGCGTTAGCTACTCACTTGCTAAAAGTTGAAGAAGTGGATCAGCCGATGGCAACTGCAAAAAAAAAATTATACTATCAGGAAACGCAAAAAACTCTTGTCAATAATTGAAAATTTCCATGGTGCAATAACAATGTGTTCACCTAATGAACTGAAATTCTAAATTAAATATGGTGGGACAACCCGTGTTTCACAAGAAACTTTAACGAAATTTAATTCAGCTATAAAGTCGAAAATGTTCGTTAATAGTTTGCAACCCCATCCCCCACTGGTGCCCTACCTACCCATTCGTGACCCCTCGCACCTTATCCCCTACTCATGCCCCACCTACCCATTCGAGACCCCTCGTCCCGCACTCACCCCCCGGGACTCCCTGAAGACGGTAGCAGCGCTGGCGTAGTCGCAGCCGCGGATGTAGACGGAGCCGAGGCTGCCGCTGGCCGCGCGGCTGCGCTCGTTCAAGTCGCCGGAGTTGCGCCGGCCTGCAATTATAATGCAAACATTTACACATAATTATATGCCACAATGCCTATAACTAACACTTTAGAAACGATTTTACATCACAGATACACTAATTATGAATTTTTACATCACTGATGCATTTATGAAGCCATTTTGCATCACTGATACATTTATTAGGCTATTACACATGAATGAGGCATTTACGATGCAATTACACATCACTGATAAATTTATGATGTAATTACAAACCACAGATTCATTTATGAAGCAATTACACATCACCAATGAATTTATCATGCAATTATACATCACTGATGAATTTATGATGCAATTACACACCATCAGGCAAACGACGTTGAACCAACCTTTAATTAACGTTGATTCAACCGAACAACGTTTGTTTCAACGATAATTCAACGTCGTTTGCCTGTTTCGTGGGACATCACTGCAACACGAGCAGGACATTAACCCTTAAGTTCGGAGGGGCAAAATTAAGACGCAATTCACTGCATTATTAGCAGAAACGTTATTTGGAATTTGCAGAAGTGCGAAGAAAGAATAATTGCGAGACGGGCAATCTATACATCGCTTGCGTTTATAATAAAATAATTGTATACATGATTGTCAGCTGGGAACGCAGCGTTCGGCAGAAAATGTTCACCGAGGAAAGCGCAGCGGTTTTTTTCGGTACTTTATACTCGAAATTATGTTAGCGAGAAAAATGGGAGGCACTCTCCATGCATATCTATGAAAAGTTTGAAAACAACTTTTTTGTTAAAGTTATTAGAAATTTACGATAAAAATGTAGAAATTCGTATCAAGTTATAGTAAAAATTAAGCAGCACGAACATACACAAATTAGGTGACAAATACAAACGCATACATTATATCTCACAAGGCCTGTACATTCAGGAATGTATGATAAATATACACGACGTGGAAAAATATATATGCGCAGAATAAGACCTCACAATTAATAAATTAATTAAATTAATGAATTAATTAAATTGATGAAAATTAATTGTCACAAATTCAGACAGTGTGATCATCGTTCACATTATTACAATGCGGTCATCATTAATGAAGGAATTTTTTATATTAAAATGGGCAATCGCAATTATAAGATTTAAGAGGTTTCATTTCCACGAAGCAAAAATTAAAATTAATGTTGAGTTTTAAAAGACTACGTATTCAATTTGAATGTGAAAAAATATGAAATGAATCATGATTTTTAGAGGAATTCTAAGATGTAAAATTTCTCTTAAAACCAAAAATTATCAAATATTACGCACAAGTTGGTGACACACGCTGCGTGGCTGAACAAATATGTGTCAATGGTGGAACTATCAAACTATCTGTACGAACTGTATAATGACGCAGTGTCGCCTGTATTGATTTGGATACCAACTGAAAAATGTTTCGGTCTTCTAAAAATTATTTTCATTCAAAAATTTCTACAACGACTTCTAATCTCATATTTCGGGACCTACTTTTTTTCCGAGCTTAAATTATTGCCTAATTAATTAATTAATGTGCATGCCTAATATGACAATCGCTGATTTCATGTTTATGAAGAGCCAGAGACGCCATTTTAATATTTATACAGAAACAAATATTGATATTTAATGGAAAAATGTTTAATTTTGTTTGAAAAGCGTGAACAAGCTGAGAGCAATAAAACAAAAAAAAAAGTCGTATACAATTTGAGAAGAGGGTCAATTGGAAGGTGCAAACCAGCAAAGTAGTTAAGGTTGAATGGAATGCACCTCTTGACAATCAAATAATTTCGAAATAAAACACAGGAATGAGACCAAATGTAATGGAAAAATGACCATTGTTCAATCCAGTTCTCCATCAACGTGTGTCGGTCGAATACTTCACATATACTTACTTCACTAAGCGACCCTCCTCTCGTAATGTGAGAGGGCAAAAGTTTCCAAAACGTGAAGTTACAACCAAGTTGTTCGTAAATAATATTCATGGACGAACCTGAAAACCGGGGTGAAAGATTCTCATAGTCATCTCCCGGGAAGAGGAAGCTATCGTACATTGAGAGCAGATCTTCCGCGGAAGAGGCGTCGAGTTCGAGTGGAGGAGGAGTTGCTTGAAGTGAAGCCCAAAACTCTCCTCTTGGAGGAATTTCACTAGCTTTAGGAGCAGGCTCCTCTTCTTCGTCGCTGCTTATGCTCTCGGAACTATCGAAAACATCATCGTCTGTGGTGGAGTTTGTACGAGGAGCTTGACGTGGCTTCACGAGGGGCCGATGGTGCTTCGGACGATGATGATGTCCGCCGGCACGAGGGGGCGGTTCTTCGTCTTCATCAGATTCGCTCGTAATTGCGGAGCTGTGTGATTTTTCTTCAGAATCCAGGCTCGAGATGCTGCTGTGCGACATGCTTCGACTATTTTCGTTGGTAATGTCGCTGCAGCTGAAGTCGCTGCCGTCGATGCTGCCACAGCTGCTGCTGCTCCCGCTTGGTGGTGACACGACCACGTCAGGGCCGGAGGATCTACGGTTCTTCAGTTGGCCATTATCATTATTGGAAATAACGATAGATGGAGTAACGCAGCGAGATGTCCCAGAGGTGGACTGGTCATCAGATTTGCCAGAAAACCCATAAGAACCAAGGCGACGTCTGTGGCGTGGCATGGGACGGTAGACGTGAGATGGTTCACTATTAGAAGCCTCCTCGCCGCCCACACTGTGACGTCGTTTGGTCGAGTCTGAGTGCACTCTAAGAAACGCTTCGAGGCCTGTTAATTTTTTATCTTTATTTTTCAAATCTTCGACACTATTTTTGTGGCTTGAAGTGCCAAAAAGATTCCTGAAGCTAAATGCGTCAAAGCTGTTACGTCTCAAATTACTAACTGGAATTTTCAAACTAAAACTCTCCCCCAACGATTTCATTTTTGTAAGTTTGGTTTTGTCCTTTCCACGCGTTCTCTTATTATTCTGATTCTGTTCTTGATTTTTCTGATGCTTAAACAAATCGTAGCTATCTTTTCGATTTGAATGGACAGAGCGCTCATTGTCGGATAAAAAAATTTCTGGTTTCCGGTTCTTCAATTCTTTCAGGTTCTCCGCAAACTTGCGTTCTTTCGTTACATCGAGGCTGTTTTTCCTGACTCCACTCCTGCCAGAATGGGCCTTGAGCTCCTTGGATTTTGTCTCTTTCACCTCTTTAGCGAGTTCGATGCTATTTCTCCTACTACTATTCAGTGATCTACTCTCCCTATGCCCACCCGTAATAACAGAGAGGAAAACACTCTGTCCTCCTTTGTGCCCATGCTCCAAATCTGCATCACCGACTTTACTTGAATTTCCGCTGGCAAGCCGTGACCGCGAACTGTTGCTCTCGCCTTCTGAGGAACTAGATTCTCTCGAAACACTTCGTCTCCGCAAAGTGTTAATAGGATGCAGGAAATTGTTCAGCAAACTTTTGCTTGAACTCTTAGGATGTTCTGGCGTGTTAGCAACGTGTCCTCCCGACAGGTCTTGCAAGCCACTACCACTTCTGCGACGCACGTGCTTCGAGCGCTCGTCGCCGTCCACGCTGAGGAAGGATGCCCCAGGTAGTGAAACCTTAATCCTCTCAGGACCAGCGCTCAGGGACTTCATGCCATGGGATAAATGAGGCCCTCGGACCTGATGTTCAGGCGTTGCGATTTTAATGCGTTCAGGCCCTGCGCTGTAGGACTTCATGACGAGAGGGGATTTGGGAGGAGGGGTGGCCCGCATAACACCTGCTTCCTTGGAGGTACTATGATGACGCTTAGGATCCGAGTCCGACATGACTAACACTTGCTTAACTTAAGAATATTGTTTATTAATAAATATGCACCAGCAAAGAGCACCTGAATAATATCATACAGTCAATGTACTTTCTGGATAGGTTGAAAAAAAGTTGACTTTTGCTTCCTTAGCTGACTCAGAGAGGTTGAGAACGGAACTCTTTACCATGGAAACTTGATTCGAAGCTTTGTTTTGGCGTAATTTATGAAAATAATGTTTACAGAAAATTCTGTGAAACAAAATCACTGGAAAAATCAATGAAAATAAATTAAAGGTGAATGCAACAAATAATCATTGTAAACATTAGTAATACTACAAGTTCATTACTCTGCAAAGAGGTTATAACTCGGTCTTTTCGGGTACTGCACCGTTTACTGAACAGCGGATAGATACAGAATTCTTATCTTGCACAATTGGTGTCCGCGGAAGAATGGATAAAATGATGATACGAGTCTTACGTACTTACTTGAAGGAAGGAAGTTACTTAATGAAGGTTCAAACATGCAAAAAACGTTGCTTGGTGTAGCTTACAAGTAGTGGTGGTATGACGACCATGTAAAAATGTTATATATTTGCTCTCATTCGCTGTTTACGTGTCACGCGAATAGTAGGTACTTGCTATCTTACTAACGACTCGTTTCTATTGTACTCATAGAAATTCTATAAGCTAAAATGTATGTAGATAAACTAATACCAATGTAATAAGTACGTAAGAAAACGCTCGATAAGTGACCCATATAATACAAAATCAAGTAGAGAGAATGAGGAAGCTGTGCTCCTTAATCCAGGAGCAGCAGCGTTGCAAAAAACTAGACGCGGAGTAGAAAGCTGGGTCTAATTTATTAGAAGCATTGAAGACAATCAAAGGTTCCTGATCTTAAATTTGGGTTCCATAATTCCTACATCCATGATGTTTTAAACACGTGGGCGATTCCGGTGCATTGAAATAGAAAATAAACGTTACAAACATCTAATGATACTAACATCCGTAAATCAATTACAGATCAATAGATTAGACTGCAACAGAATGTTCATTTGAGACAGGAAGAAAAAAATGACCTGTTTTTATTGGCAACACACAGTTTGCATCCAATGTCTACCATGAACAAACGCGTAATATAATTTGCTCGGGCAGTGCCTGCAGCATAGCAGGGTTTAAATATATTCGAAAAGCACTTGTTCACTTAAGCTCCTGAATTTAACCTCATCTAGCACATATGACGACGTCATCAGCCACTAAAACACTTGTACTCAACACTTGTTGAAGCGCGCTTACGTCATCTGCTAACTTCACGATGAGTAAGAATCCATTTTAATGGACCAGATGCTGCACAAGATAAGAGAGAACAATACGAGTCCAAGTAAGTCGCGAGAACCATGCAGCAGCGAGAACCTTGCAGCAGCGAGAACCATGCAGCAGCGAGAACTATGCAGCAGCGAGAACCATGCAGCAGCGAGAACCATGCAGCAGCGAGAACTATGCAGCAGCGAGAACCATGCAGCAGCGAAGAGTTAACTACTAATCTCGTCGTTAAATAAACAGCTCGAGCCAACACGTGAAACACGGCAACCTCATGAAGGACAAATCAGTGAACCGCCTAGAGACGAGAAGTGCTCAAAGTCCCTTGTCATGAAGTACGTCTAAACAAGCAAACTTGTAAAGTTCAAAGCATCAAGTCTTAGTAAACGTCTCGATACGCGCACATGTACAGTTCAGAGCACCAAGCTATTGCCATCGTGTCAACACGCGTACATGTACAGTTCAGAACAAGTTCTCTCAAGTCTCAAGCATCTTTTTTACGCGTACATGTGCACTACAGTTCAGAGCACAAAGCTATTGCCTTCGTGTCAGCATGCCGCACGCGTACATGTACAGTTCGGAGCACCAATTTTTGCAAGCCTCTCAACACGTTCACATGTACAGTTGAACTGTACAGTTTATTGTACACTGTACAGTTCAGAGCACCAAGTGCATACAGGCTTCGCAATCAACAAGCAAAGCAAGAGTGCTACATACTTAAGAAGTTTAGACAGTCGTTCAGATAGCAGCGAAGACTACAAGAACAATCAAGAGCTTGAACCCATTACGGCATCACGTAAACAAACTTAATTGGGGCATCTTGACCAATAAAGGTTTCAAAATCATTTTAAATCAAATAAATAATTTCACGAGTTTTAATACCGACAAAACAGGAAGGAGGAAGTCGAATTTATTGCAAACATCGAATACTTGCTCATTTTCAAATTTATCCTGAAATCAGTTTTTTAATTGTCGATAATGACAAATGAGCCAGCTGCGTACACACGAATTGATAATTAAAAAAGATTGGAAAATACAGCAAAGTTTTAACTTATAGGGTCCGCGATTCGAGTGCGCCACGGTAGAGGGGATGCGTGATACCAGTTCCTTCACATACACATGACGACATAGAGTGGAGAACTTCCAGCACTCAGGCAGGAATATTTAACCTAGCAACACAAACGCTCCGTAAAAGCACCCAACTTTTTTCAGCCACAAAAAAAAAACAGAATTACTATTTACAAAATAAAATCACAACTTCGGAAGAAAAAAACACAATATTGCAGAAAAAGGGATAATTGAGGCGTTGTGGTTTTAATCATGAAGAGGACGAGGCAGCATGCAATAGCTGCTCCTATCACCGCACGAGTCACACTGGTGGCTGGAGGGATGTGTGGCGCGCACACTTGCGAACGCCAGACCAGTCCTTGACTACACCTCGAACTCGAGTCACCGAGTGCCCTTCACCACATAAATGCAACTGGCGACTAAAATCTTACTCAGTACACAACAATAGCTTGGTATCTTTGTTCAATAGAGAACATTTTTGTTCTATAGAGAACATGTGAATGTTGTCAGCGAATGTCGGCGCAGCTTTCACGAGAATCTACTACCAACACTAAACAGCAATTTAGCGTAGATACTTTATTCTATGGAGAAAACTTTGCACCGCATGAATGTAACCCTGATGGCGCAGCTATCACAGTAAACACACAACACTCATTACAGAGCAATACAGTGGTCTTTTTATTCTGCGGAGAACATGCGCATGTGGTTGGTGCTGCAGACAACAAATAACACTACAAGTAAACCTGACGGCACAGCTCTAGCTAGATCATACAACACGCACTAATTAGCAATTGAGTAATAATTTTCATCCGTGGTGAACGTGTGAATGTGGTGGGTGAATGACTGCCCATCTCTCACAATAATCGACCACACGCACCAAAAAGCTATAGCTCGGTAATTTCATTCTCTAGAGAGCATGTCAATGAGGTTGGCACGGCAGACTAGACATTGATTGCACCGTATGAGCGCACAAGCAGCGATTGCATGACTTCTCACCAGATGGATAATACAGGGCAGATAAGTATTACCATTACGCAAATGACGAGTATAAATAGATGGGTAAATAGGAGAAATTTCTCAAAAGTGTGTGATAACAAGAATTCCACGAATAATATCAGTGATCATTTCCAAGGAAGTGATAAAAAAATTACCGTAAATAATGATAACAAATAGTTCTTAAAAGATAATAATAATCACGCCGTACAGCACCAAACTGCGTACATAATTTCCTGCCTTGTGCAAATGAACATGACCTCTTCATGTTTACCTAAACTGATTGAACGATGGCAATTAAATAAATGATCGCAGTAGCGACCTCGCACAAGGTGAGCGTACAGCTTGGCATTCATGCGCTGTCTGTGTAGCCACTCTAATATCAGGCTGAGCATTTTAAAACCATAAAAAACCATTATATTATTGTTTTAAACTAGACTTCAGCAAGGCTCAACTTGCTTCTGCGATCACTCGTAATATTATTGGTCATACAAAACGTAAAAATGTAGAAAAGCTTGGCATTCATGACTGCCTGTGGAGCCACTCTACTATCAGGCTGCGTCCTGCGACATCGCATGTCTCAGAGCTCCGCCAATACTGGATTTTACCGCAGTCTTGACCCTTGCATTGATTCAATTTAGCACTACGATGTATAGCTATACAGTGATGTTTGTGCCATTTAATTCATAGATTCAAGTATGTAATTTAAGGATCGGCGTGTAATTATATCACCAAATAGTCTTAATTCCAAATTACAAAGAATTTGAAAAAGCCAACAAATCTAGCAGATTCACCACTATCCAATCAAAATGTTTCGCAGATCAGCTCATTCATCCGATAAAATCTTCATGAATAGAAGTATAATCAGCAGAAAGAAGTTTTATGGTATCATCTGTATTAGTAAAATCAAATGATTTTCTTGAGTTTTCATTACTATTATTATTGAGAAAAACACATTGTGGCTAAACTACAAGAAGAAGTTTGGTGTGAACAATAGTTAAATTGCCTCAGTTCGGGCATCACTGCTGGAGCGAATATTTGACTAATTACTATGAAGCGATTGATTAATAAACACTGATAAACTTGCTAGTATACAAACGTCAAAACAAAATCCTTAAAAAAGCCCATATATTTTAACAATAATGAAACCCTAATATTATACAAAAAACAATTAAAATGTGAATTCTAACGGTACGATGAAAAATTGGAAAAACATTTCGGAGTCTGATCAAACATTACCTACTATAGACTTATCTGATTCAAGAACCGTCATAAAATGCGCACTTCTGAATAAAACATAGTAACACCTCAGTTACTTATCAAAGTCGGTCGTTTTTTTTAATAATTTTTGACTCGTACGGAGTTTCGCAATATCATCAGGTAATTTGTGCCGACAACGACTGCTGATGAACTCGAATGATAATACAAGGCACGCAACAGAAGTGCTGAAGATCCAATTTGTGCCGAAGGGAAGGGGATGTGGACAGCGTGCAATATATACGCAGTGTGTGCTTGTGTGAATCATAAATACATGCTATACCGAAAGTTGTGTAGTGCAGAGTGTATATGCAATGTTAACGACCACATGGCGAGCCCAAAAGCACATGCAATGCGATGACATATGCACATGCGCTGAAATGACGTACATCATAGACGGTACTCTGCTGCTGAACGTACGCGGTAGCAGCATATGGTGGGTGCTGAATGGCATGATGCACGCGGAGCAGTATGATGTAAAATTGTAAATCGAGCGGCACGAATTGCTTATGAAAAGCCACACGCGAGCCAAAACGTATGCAGAGAGAGAGAGCAGTATATATGTATGCAGAGAGCAGCAGAGAGAAGCAGCAGAGAGAGCAGCATAGAGAGAGCTCTGTACATACTGCAGAGAGCAGTATGTACAGAGAGAAGAGCATGTACGTGTAGAGAGAACAGCATGCAGAGAATAGCATGTACACAGACAAGTACACAGAGCAGCACGTGCACACATAAACACGGACACGTTCTTGTTCTCCGTCAACTGCAATCTCCGATTGCGTCTTTCCTTGGTAGTTCGTTGAGCAATTTTCGTAAATTGACGGAAGCAACAGGCAAGTTAACTTAACATTAGCGATATCACATTTATTCCGCGAGTATCTGGATAGCAGAGCTGAGTCTAAGCGGGCCGGTGAGTGACCTTTACCCAGCACCGAAGAGAGTGGCTGCCTAGGACTGGCTATAGAGCAGCTCCTTATCCCGTAACACTCAGAGAAATGAGCGAGGCTTTGTCCAAAAAGTGACGCACTTTTTTGCTCTTGAGTGGGTAATACTGACCCACTTTGGCCCAGCTAAAAGGTGTATCAGTGGGGAATATATGGTCACTATTTGGACAATACGACCCATTCATTTTTCAGAGTGAAGCATTCGGTGCTATTAGGATTCTAAGCACGCAGGCGCATTCATCCCAATGTAGGTAAACAAACAACTCAATTGCAGCAATGCATGCATGATTAGCGTTGAATATTTACGCAGCAACGCGGTTTACTTTTAAGGCTCCATTACGCAACTCAAATTATGTACAAATTTCAATAAAAAATCAAAATCCTAAAAATGTACAGAATTATTTGAGCATATACTTGACAAGAAAACCTCAAAAACTTTAAGATAAATTTGATGAACGTATTCGCATTTCTCTATTCGTTGTTTTACGAGCTGTTTTTTTAATCAAAATGTTCCATCAGTTTGCGAAGTGAATTACCGTAAAATGTGAACTTAATTTTAATTTCTCGTCATCAACAAACGAGCGAAATAAATCATAATTATATTTTTAACGACTCTATCACCACTTGCATCCATTCATTTTTCAATTGTGTTCGTAATCTTTACCGACTATTATGTATATCCAAAACATTTACAATTTTCCTATCAAATTGTCTCTAAACAGTCGTGATTAAATACAATAATTCATGCACCCTAATAACCCCAAAATCATGCACATCACATCGATTAGAGATCGGTACATCGATTACAGATCTCGATTAGAGATCGGTACATCGATTAGAGATCGGAAATCCATGATACCGCACATATACACATCAGGCTGCATGAACGATAGAGCTGCTTAGCTGCACAGTAGACATGGCAACTGTTTTGCTGCACATTTCATCTACTTGGCAGCACGGTTAAGACATTGTACCTAATTTGCTGAACATTATAGACATTGTTTATACCTCGCAGCTGGTTAAGACATTGTACCTAATTTGTAGCACGGTAAAGAAATGGAAGATACTGAGAAGCACGTTAGACATGTTATTAGCTCTGCTGCACAGTGAAGAATAATGAAATAAATGTCTTAATAAAAAGGTAGAGTTTTTCATGAAGTGCACAGATCACATTTAGTTGTTCACATGAAGTGCACAGATCAATTTTTATTTGTACATACAGATACGACAGCTAAATTTGATTACTTTCCTGCAATGTGATCAAATCTCATACAATCTTTCCTATAATGCGGTCAAATCTCATACAATATTTTCTATATTGTGATCGTAAAGCGAAAAATCATTAAATAATCGATGATTGAGGACATAGAAGAGAAGCATGAAGTAACATTTGCTACCGCAACTAAATTTACTACTTAACCACCAAGCGAGAGTAAATGCGAGCAAACCGACACGTTGAAGAGCTTTCTTGTGTCGAAGTGTCTTTGAGGAGAGAATCAGTATGCAGTATACGCGTTACGCGTGACGATAATACAATATCAATTGAAGCGGCTTTTTGGAAGTTGTCGTTCTGATACGCAGTAGTTTTAGTCGTCAATGGCGTCCCATTTACAGAGAGAAACCAAACAATTTAAGGCAGCTGTGCTCAGTTAAGTCTTGGACCAACGCTGAAAAGGGGAATGAAAATTCAGTTCACATATTTCTTGGGGTTGCATCAAAACATATTAGATCTTAGTCGAGAGTAGCTTAGGTGTAAAGATTTCCAGGTCTAAAATAACACCTACGTTAGCTGCTGCAATGTTCATGAACATTAATAGAACTAAATACAGACGGCAGCTCGCACCAAGTTAGGGACCAGCCAACGGTATAGATTCCACGAGATCAGCTTGCTTGCTTGCGTGCAAGAATGATTCTTAGCGATCTGGGGCCATACTTTCAAAAATCGCTAAGTGAACGTAAGTACTTACGCTCTATTTTCTTGTCCATGATTGGTGGATTTTGCTTAAAAAGCCGTCAATGATTGGTTCATGAACATGCGATCTCTTAACATTTTTTGAAAGTATAGGTCCTGGGCACTAGCGAGCGATGCTGAGCGATCTGTGCACTATAGCGAGCGATCTGGGCACTCCCATACCGCTAAGTTATCCTCCTGCAGCCATGTTATACTCTCATGTGACTATGTTATTCGCTTGTGATCAATTTGTCCCCGAACTACACGTACTACTACTCCCAAGTAGTAGTAGTTCGAACTACGAACTACTCCCGAGCGATCAAGTAGTTCTGGTACGCGTGACATGATGTCTCGACACAGCGAGGTTGCAGCTTTAGGATGCACATGAAAGCCCGCCGTTTCCCGCGTATTTCGAGTACTTATACACAAAAAAAAATGCTATTAACGAAAGTATTGAAGTATTACCACTCAATATCGGTGAGGCGGGAACTGTAAAATAGAATAGACTAAAGTAAGAGCTAGACTTACCAGAGATGAGGTCTGAGACGCTCCTTACTCTATGTATTAGATGCTGCGATTATGAACGTACCTCGCTCGCCGGCTTTCTGTGATAGAAATAAGGTGAACTTCAGTGAAACGGTGCAGAAATGCAAATTTAAATTTGAATAAAAAATTTATAAACATTTTATCTTAACAACTGGATCGCTTATTACATTAGTTTAGAGCGGCCAGATTTTAACTTCAGACAAACGAGGGTGAAATCAGATAGTGAGACTGAATGACGACTCGCTGAGTTGTGAGAAAATCCAATGCACTTGTGAAATAATAATAATAATGACGATAATAATGTTACCGTATATAGAATATAATATTCTATAATACAATATAACATAATATAATATATAATATAATAAAATATAATATTACTGGTGTCTGAGTTTCTTAGGCCATGTTGACAAGTCACCGATTTTTAACCTCTCGGACGATTCGACCAAAATTTTCATAACAAGCTGCGGGTCTCGAACCGACAACACAGTGCTCCAAAAATGGTGATCTTAACTACTAGTCTCGAGGCATCCATGAAAGGATTGTTATATCTATAACGTTACATCCGAAATTTCAAATCCTGCAAGATGCCTAATCCGCCAAATTGAGAAAATAAATAAAATGTTAATAATAATTACACGCCGATAGTCGGCAAAACCTGTATTTTTTCTTTAACTAATTGTCTTTGCATAACTATTATCACGAATCATTATTATTTATATGCATTACCAGTTCTAAGAATTATACTTATATTACAAATGAACTATAAACCTGGACCAATTGATTAGTTTGGTAGGTAACGAGTGATAGTTTTTAAAATAATAGTTGAGTAGTTTTCGAGTCATATTCTCTTAATGATAGTTAGGTAGTTATTGAGCAATATTTTCTTAATAATAGTTGAGTAGTTTTTGAGTAATATTCTCTTAATAGTAGTTGGGTAGTTATTGAGCAATATTTTCCTAATAATAGTTTAAGTAGTTAATGAGTAATATTTTCTAATAAATAATAAATAACTGTTTAGTACACAATTTAGTCTTAACTTACGCCAGGCGCGGCCTTCTTCTTGCGGTCGTCTGCATTGTTCATCCTGAAGAGGTCGAGCACTTTGAACAGCGAAGACGGCCTGCGGGCGACAACGTACAAATTTCTCAATTGGGGATTAGTAATAAGACAATTTTGAAATATTGCTAATAGGTCTTAGAGCACTAATTATATTTCAAAATACGGAACGTTTTACAAAGAATAGACATGTTTGCACTGACTTTATTTTTTATAAGAAAATATTTCGGGCTAAGCAAAAATTAAATTTACAACATGTAGTCCTACACTAACACAACACCCACACCAACACAACACCCACACCAACACAACACCCACACCAACACAACACCCACACCAACACAATACACACACCAACACAACACACACACCAACACAACACACACACACCAACACAACACACACACCAACACAACACACACACACCAACACAACACACACACCAACACAACACACACACCATCACAACACCCACTCAAACAACACCTACTCAAACAACACCTCATCAAACACAACGCCCACTCAAACAACGCCCACACCTTCAACACTCAGTCAAACAACGCCCACACCTTCAACACTCAGCCAAACAATGCCCACACCTTCAACACTCAGCCAAACAATGCCCACACCTTCAACACTCAGCCAAACAACGCCCACACCTTCAACACTCAGTCAAACAATGCCCACACCTTCAACACTCAGTCAAACAACGCCCACACAGCGCCCCCGGCGTGCCAGGTGTTGTGGTGCAGGTAGGGGTCGCCGCCCCCACCACCGCCCCCGTGGTGGACCGTCATGCCCATACGAGCGTCGAGGGGGGGCGTGCTCTCCCCACTGCGCCGCTGCCCCCTGCCACTCCCCACACCCCCACCGGGGGACACTAGCGTGTGCTGTCGGTTCATCTCAAAGTCAACTTCAAGACCAATTTTTCGCGGACAATTTCAAATTCCAAAGAACAATAATTATCTTCAATTCAACTGGATCAATTTCCTAAAATTTCAAAAATTAAACAAAATTTTTTCATGATTAGTTTGATATATCGATTTAAAATTTGGCATTTAACTTCACATGTATATATAAAGATTCATCTTACCATCGCAAAATTACCAAGTCAAGCATCACTAAAATCTCGGTTTCCAGAATTTATCGAAGGATCAATAAAATCAGTGATCAAACAAATGATAACTACTATATAAGTTTCGTTAGCTACGTAGTAATGCAGATATCAATGGCCTGATATAATTTAATATACAGTGCGTGGGAACTAGCACGTCCCAGAAACTGCCTAAACATGAGAAATATTAATAGTTTTGATGTCAGAACCGACTTTTGGTGCAGAAAATTGGCGTACTAGAATATACCGAGCATTACACACAAAACTAAGATATCAGATTTTAGCTAAACTTTTACAGCAAAACTACCGATAATCTACAACGGGGTGAACAGATCAACAGTAAATGAATGAACAGGTAACCAATAACAGAGTAAACAAATAACTACGAAATAACATTATAAATAACAAACCACGAATAAGTATACTACAACAAATAATCAACATTCGTATATGAACATCTAAGAATTACTTGGATAAATTGCTTATTACACTACTTGGGTGAACAGGCAACGAACAATCTCAAGTAAAATAACAGCTCTAAGTTATTACGAATTTCGATCATATACATCAATTGGGATGGCTCACTTACAAGATTACTGCACTTCAGTCTCCTGAATGCTCTTCAGGCTTCAAAGTATTCATACAAAATGTGAACGTGCGACATTGAAGTGTTGATTAAGCAAGTGATATTTAAAGTCAATGATACTCATAGATTTTTTACATGCGAAGAAACAGGCCGACCAGCGGGAAACATCCCACCAAATCGGTGGGATCGGCTCCCGCCGATCATTCATCACCCATAAACAAACGAAAATTTCAACATCGACATCAGAGCAGCGGCCATGGATGTAGTCAAATGCATCGGTGTTAGAGGATCATAGCGACATGATTATTTCCAGTCACGCCCATTTCGGTTCTCCATCTAATTTTGTTAGAGCAACAAGCGTCATGGATATTTATGCCCAAAATTAAATTATCATCTGAAGGCTGAAAATTGACAGCCTTTCAGTTGATGCTGGGATCGTGCTCTGAAAACTGACAGCAGTTTTCAGAGCACGAGACTTGCTTTGTGAACCTAACCCATTTCTTTCAAGTCTAATGAATGTTAACACAGCCAATGACAGCTGAGCTGCGATGATATTGATTTTAAAAAATGGATATGTGATAGCGAAAAGTTATGTTCGACATACATATATGTAAGCGTTTTATTCGTGACTAACCAAGTTCAAGATAACAGCAATATGTCTCTCAAGGTCAATAGCTAAAGTATCAGTGGAGCCTGATGTTAATAAGAAGAAAAATACGAAATGGTAGAATAATTTTATAGTTGAAAACTTGAAACTGCAATACAATGAAGGAATAGAAAGGAGGTGAACAAACTAAGAACGTGGATACAGCAAATAATAAAAATTAGAGCAAAGAAATAAATTGTATGAATTCAAAGCTACAGCAAATAAGAATGAAAAATGGGATGAAAAATGGGACAAAAACGGGTAAATATAACAACCACTACAATGCATTAAACACAGGAGTAGGAATAGCAAAGTAGCGACAAATTTAGGACAAGGCAAATAAAGTTCGAAACAACTTCAGAATAAGACTACAAAGTTACCCGACGTGTGAATAACAACGAGAGACCAACTTGAGGTAATAATCGGAGAAAGCACTCAGAAAAACGAACGAGTCGTAATGTCCAAATAACGATACAATTTCTGCACATTGCGCTTATACTCCAAGTAAGTAATCAGACCGAACTGAGTCAGGATGATAATCACGCTTAGCGCTGACACGCAGTTTAGCCGGGCCAAACTGGGTCAGGGTGACCCATACACAGGCAAAATGTGCATTGCTATTTGGAAAAAGTCTCATACTTTTAGACAAAAAGTGAAACGATATTTAGACAAAGACTCGTTCTATTTTCTGAGCGCGTTGAGGAAGAGACACATCAGACCTGACAGGACTGCGAGAAGCGGCCCAGCAACATCTGACGCTCGCGTCGCAGCGCGTCGCGCTCTCGCTTACGTCGCTCCTTGTCTTCGTTCCAGAGCTGTGAACCGCCACGAATATTACCGGTACATACATGTTGCAGACATGTTCAGGAGTCAGCAGCCATGTTCAGTACTCATGTCAGTAGACATGTTCAGTACTCATGTCAGTAGACATGTTCAGTAGTCATGTGAGTAGACATGTTCAGTAGTCATGTGAGTAGACATGTTCAGTACTCGTGTCAGCAGACATGTTCAGTACTCATGTTAGCAGACATGTTCAGTATTCATGTTAGCAAACATGTTGAATTGTTCGTGAAACGTAGCACATTTATGGCACATGTTCACGATAATACTTGAACGGAATGATCACGTATAATAGGTTTGAAATTCAGAACCAGTGTCAGGCCACAAAAGCATATAGCAAAGTTTTGTTTAACGAATATAAAATGACCATGATAGCAAGAACGACAACAGAGTAGGTTGGCGATGGTGTCAGTTGAAGGGCGTCATATAGACCATAGTGAACATAATTTTCATTTATGTATCAATTGTTGCACTCGATTAGTTCATTATGTGGAAAAGTTACATCCAATGCAGCCACGGGAAAATGGTGAGCCAAAGCCAACCCAAAGCTCAAAGAAGTTGTAGGACGAGAACCGCATTGACAGCAGCCAGATCAGTATAACATGGCACCGTAAAGCCTCATTAATTTTACGTTGCAAGACGAATACCGTACGAAAGAATAGAAATCGATCGTAAGTTGGCAATTCTCGCTGCAGTTGATGGCGATTACGACGGAGAAAGAACCGTCCCAGAAAGACATCGCAGTCAGAGAACAAGACAAAGACTAAAACTAATAATATTTCGACAAGGTAATGTCCCAATCGAAGGAACGATCAAGTTGATGAGATGAATTAGCGAACGATTCGAAGTCATAAATGAAGATCATTTCAACACAGCAAGACCAATTGGATTTAGAACAAAATTCAAGCGAATTTGAAGCAATGCAAAGCAAAAATATAATATTAGAAACAATAACGGAACAATGAGATTGCGAAGTTACGCGCACAACGAATGTAGCTAATAATAAAACACAAGGGATTGGAACTCAATGTGATCGGAAGAAGCAAAGGCGAATATTCGGTGTTGTATGATTTGAAGCATAATAAATCTTGCGACATGAGAAAAATTTACAAATCCAGATCAATTTGAAGTATAGATCAGTGATCCTTAGTACAGTTTAACGTAAAACGGTTTTGGGATGCCGGCAGTCGGTCCGCAGCAGCATGGGGGGATGGAAACATTTGATAGTTAGTGAAGCAACATTTCTATAGAATTTTTAGGATCTTACACGGGATAATTTAACTGCATCCGAAATCCGGAATAGCTCTTTCGAGTCAACTAAGAAGCGATCAAATAGCAACTTTTGCAGTGGGCGGGAGGATGTCAGATTTTTCAATATATTTCCGCAAAAAAAATTCAGTGAGATGTTAACACTTGGCAAATATATTNCAGGATATTTCCGCAAAAAATTCAGTGAGATGTTAACACTTGGCATATATATTTTAATTTCATCCGCAAGATGGTGAGCATAGATTGATGGTGCAGAAACATATGAGCAGAATTTTAAGAGATTGGAGGTGAACGTTAATGCACTCTAGTTTCCCAAGAGTGTAGGAACATGAATGTACACGGATTTTATAGGATTGGTATTAGATGGAAGAATTAGCTTGTTTATTTTCGTGCGATTGATGACCAGAGAATTTAATAATTTGAATTTCCAGGGCTGAACAATTCTTCAGATGACGTTTGTTGAAATACGTGTCGTTAAACTATTGTTAAATTATTTCAAGTTTAAACCAAGTTTTTGATTATCATTATAATCATTATCATATTATTATTTACTTATTTATACATTATATATTATATTTATATAATTATTTTTAGTTGTATTATTCATTATTTCTATATTTGTATTTTATCACGTTTTCAAGTTAAACTATTCGTTAAACTATAGTTCATGATCTTTCAGATTGTTTTTGACTTGTTTTCTCGTTCCAAAATTCGTATTTTATCATATTTACGTGTATAATGTACACTTGTTTCCAACAAAATTTCATTGTTCAATGCTTCTTATAATTGAAAAATGAATGTTGTCGCATGCGAAACGTCGTTAATAAATTAAAATTACTTCATTAAACCTGCATTTTAATCTACCAATATCAGCTGAAAATTTGTTCTGCCCAGGAAATTGAAATTATTAAATTCTCTGGTCATTAATCGCACGGATGTTCCAGGAATGTATGAAACAGAATGAACACTAGTTTACTATGAATGAGTGAACACAGGACTGCTCAGCGGACGGTTCACATAAGCTTTCATAACGAGCAGCCATGGGATCAACGTATAAACTAACACGCTCTAGACTAACTCTAATACACAGAAATGCATCCATATGAGACTGGAAATTAAATCACAATGAAGATAAAAGGGATGGCAACAATATATAATAGAACCTTATCAAGTTTTAGCTGCAACGAGGCTATTCTAATAACAGTGAATTACAGCTGATTACGGCCGCAGCAAACCTCACTTATCGGTTACATTTTTCTTTCCATAAGTCGAGTGAACGATGTCGGCAATCTCAGTCGCTAATACTAAGAGGCACTAATATCTTATGAATTCTACCAAGCAATGCATGTCTTCTGAAGCTGCAGTGCTCTAAAACTCTAAATATATTGCATTAAAAAATAGATGCACATTACCTGAACGGCGTTCTTCATGGTTGTCATGATGTTAGGTTTCTTGTTCGCAAGTCTCGCAGCGTCGGACTTGGAGCGCGGCCTGATGCTCTCGAAGAATCCAGGCGACGCTTCTTTCTTCTTCTCCCGAGACCCTGCTGCTGCAGGAGCTTCACGAGCTCCTGAAGCAGTTAACAGGTCTTCTCCTGACCGACGACGCTGGCGGGCTTGCACTACAAGCAGGACAGGAGATTAGACCAAAACTCGGTATTTTGGTGCAGAGTATTTTAGTGAAAGCAGTATTTTGATGGAGAATATTTTGATGCAGGCAGTATTTTGATGGTGAGTATTTTTAGTGTAGGCAATATTTTGATGGAGAATATTTTGATGCAGGCAGTATTTTGATGGTGAGTATTTTTAGTGTAGGCAATATTTTGATGGAGAATATTTTAATGCAGGCAGTATTTTGGTGCAGAGTAAGTGTAGGCAGTATTTTGATGGAGAATATTTTGATGCAGGCAGTATTTTGGTGGATTATTTTGGCGCAGGCAATATTTTGATGCAGGCTGAAGAGATGTTATATTCGCTTCTGAGGATGATAATTACGCAACTTACGGCAATTTAATATCAGAAATTGATAACAACAAGAAATTTGTAATTCTGGGAATTGGAAATCGAGAATAAGAAAATTTTAATTTCGGGACTTGAAAATTGAGAATAAGAAATTTGAAATTATTGGGAAGTTGAAATATAGAATAACGTATGATTTTCAAGCAAAGTTTAAAGAAAGGATGGAAACGAGACTGGATCATGGCGTTTGTGAGGGAGGAATAGTATTTCTCAATGACTGGTAGCGTACGTACTTGAGTAGAAACAATCTAAGTCGGTGGGATGCTAATGAATCGAGAACTTGAAAGATTATTCAATGAATTATTTTTAGTCGAATAAGATATCCTGAATTGCAAATTCAGAACTCAAGCGTGAACATAGTTTAGTTAATAAAATGCACGAGTTGAAGCATTAAATAGAAGAGAAATGTACGAACTTGTACAATATCGTGTCCAATAACCCAAAGAGCATATGAACACAATAAATCAAATTACGCTCAACATAGCATTCATAAACTGTGCTGTGTTGGATACTTGTAGTTAGGGCTGAGAAATGTTATACATTAAGTGGCAAATTAACCATGTATTTAACGTTTTTCATCCGTAGCAACAATCTACTGATAATAATCTCTAAATAAAAAAAACACTTCATAGAACATCAGAATATAGAGGGCAAAGTTAGGCCGATCTGAGAGAGCTTGATAAGCGTCGGGTTAGCCGGAATACTTCTTACAGGCGACAAAAAATCGGTTTAGTACAAAATCACGAAGTTTTTCTAATACGAACAAGCATTGCACAGGAATATTAGGATAGGGTGGTTAATGCATGCTTAGTTAGTAAAACACTAATAATAGCATATGAATGGAATTACCCTAAATACTATTGGAATTACAGAAACAGATAGCCATTATGGTTATGCATGCAGCGGACATCCGAAGACAACTCGTCAGTTAGCAAAATTCATTGTTTCTTAGCTATGTTTGCCATATTCATTTTCTCAATGTGTAATTTTAATCACCGAACATGCACTCAAAAGCTGCGATAAACTGGACACAATTATTATGTCATTACAAATACATCAACCATCAAACAGACGTTGCCGTTGAATGAATACGTTGCCGTCCGGTGTTAGTTGAATGATACAACAATAAGTCAACCTTATAAGCCATGAACAATAAGCCTACCATATAGCTATGAGCACCATGTGGATAGATTATAATAGTGTTTATTAATGAAATATCGAGACGGATCTATAATCAAGTAGCTCATCTCTAGCCACGGCGTAGGGAGCGTTAGGCTGGAATCGCTCACCATAACTGGTCGGTTTTGCTGAAAGAACCTCACACAATGCCATAAACGTCATTAATAATTACTATAACTGTACGACGCCACAAACCGAATCGTCATTCACAATAACTGTACGATGCCACAAACCGCATTCAAAATTACGATAATTGTCCAATACAAAAAAAACGCATCATTAATTACTATAACTGTAAGATGCCACAAAACCGCATTCCCAATTATGATAACTGTACGAAGTACCAAAACCGGATCATCAATTACGATAACCGTATGATGCAACCCAACCGAATTAACCGGTAAGCATACCAATTGATCCCAGAAAATACACTGATTAATCGCAAGTTTGATAACAATTTTAAAATATCGTAAAAAATCTTGGTAGTTCTTTAAATACTATATTGCAAAACAATAATATCACGATAATTTTGAAAAAAAATGCGATGGAAATGATCCTCAGTTGTTGTTCTCGTTCAACTTAACAATATAAGAGGCAATGCAGTTGAGACCAGCAAAATCATGGAGCTAGTTGATATTAAACTTTGAACCGTACCGTGCAAAAATCTTGAATATTACCATCAAAATGCCCGTGAAATTCATTGCAGTTTAGTTCCAACTTACAGCAAAAAGCGGAAAGGTCGACACTTTGAGCTCCGGTGTTAGTTGAATGCAGACGCAGTTTGATTAAAAGCAATGACCATTGACCAAAAAGAAGGAATTTGTCATTAAATGGTTCAAATGCGCGTTAGTTTACATGAAGCTGAAACAACATCACCATTGTTCTTCACTGTTTGAGCGCAGCCCGCGAAGAAGCAACCCGATTAGCGATAGGTTGTTTATATAAATTCATTGTCCAGTGATTATGGAGAATTGCAATCAGTTTTTGGGTAAACTGTCTTTAGCATGCATGTCAATTTATAACCCAGTAAGAAAAATGAGCATAAAAAAATAAGAATTATTCCGAATTCAGGAAATCGGGAATAATTCCATATTAAAATCAACAACCTGTCACTAAAAGAGCTTTAACAGCAGAGGAAATTTACATATGGCTTTGGCATCGCTTTTCGAGCGCGGCCTAAACGAGTCGAAGAAGCCCCCCTCGTGGCGCCGGCGCCCCCCAAAAGGCGTGCCCCCGATGCTCTGATTGCAGAGCGTCGCGTCTGCGGTCGCCAGCTTGTGTATGTCGTCGCCGGATTTTCGGCGGTGACGCAAACGAGCTGTTGGAGATTGTGTTCAAAATTGTACTGGTGTCGTGAACAAATGTCACTTATCCCTTGACTTTACCATTGAGTTCTTGTCGATAATGTGCGTCAATGTTTTGACCTTCGATTTTTAGTTGCATGCTTCCAACTGGTTACTGTGAAATACAATTAATTCTTTAAAAAGAAATAAAAATAAAACATTCGAAAGCAAGAAAGTGTACCGCCATCAGTCGACTTTAAAACCAATAGCTTTACCCTGACAGTGAATTGCTCATATTAGTGGTCAAACCTAACCCATCTTGCATAAGCGAAATCAACAAAAAGAAGTAACATCGATCTCCACTTGATCATCTATCTGTCTCTTATACACATCTAGATGTGTATAAGAGACAGACCTTATTAAGTTTTNATTTTATTCAGACTTGAATATTATTATTGACCTATCATTCCCAGTCAGCAGATCACAAAACAAAAAATTACCCCAACCACACAATCCCCTACCACAACACACGAGGAGGAACCAACGACCGTGGTGCGAGTATCTGCGAAGATGTCATTTGTTTCTGTTTCGTTGTGTACGTGGCTGTAGATATCGAAGTCATCCCTCGTGTCGGTGTGGGACAGAATCAGCTAACATTCAGGTGAGAATAAGACACAATAAAAGCAGCAAATAACTGGCAATAAAATAAAACACAGAATAATAAAACCAGCGCAAACAGCATCACAGACGCTAGGTGGGTGTCTGCATCTGTACCAAAACACATGAAATTCAGCAAGCGAGTTAAAAATACTAACAGACTACGCAGTAGGCAGACGGTCAACAAGATGCACAATAATGAGTGGTTTTAGATACAGCTAAAAAAAAACACAACATTAGAAATCAATACCACTTACACATAATAAATCATCGCAGTCAAAAGCGACTTAAATTCATCATTCAGATTATAAAGCTGTCAACCTTCTAGCACCAGTTCACTCAACATCACTATACACATCAGCACTAGCTAAAAATCATTATATATATCAATGAAAGCTTGTTGAAGCCAATACTAATTTAGTTAGACTCAAATACTACTAATGACATTCACTGGTATTGCGGAGACTAGTTCCGCAAGCGTTCACTAGTATCATGCTTGTGGAGTGATGAACACATGTAAGTCATCGCAACAAGTCATCGTAAATAAGACTAGACAGCAGCAATCGTTTAAGGAAAGTCCGGAAAATAGGCAAAAATGGTGCATGGTTTTCAAAAGATCATCAAGTAAGATACGCGGAGGCCTTAATTACGTGCCTCCAATGATACACCCACTTCCCAACTAACCGAATGAACTAAAACCACGTTCACTAGGAGAAACTAATAGCAAATAGGCATGAGCTGAGCTTCTGGTTTGGTTACAAGAGATTTTTCGAGTAGTTTCCTTAGCGTCAGGACATCTTAAATTCAACGAAGGAAATAATTCAACTTTAGGAGAAGAACTTGTTTGGTGATTTAGTGAACGATTTTTCTGCAGCAATACGTACATCGCGCAAAATGTCAAAAACAGCTCCATTTTTTAGAGGTAATGATCGTTACCTGATTTTCTGATACAACTATATTTTAAATCGTAAATACATCCTTAGACGACCTTCAATCCGAAGTCGAAACTACGAATTTCAAATAATTGCAATATGGTAATATTAGAATATAATCAATTATAATATAATAATACAATTAATAATAATATAATTAACAAGGAATCCAGCGCAAGAATGATCAATCTAGCTATCTATTTACGTAATTGAGCTTTACAATTTGACATTACAAATATATTCCTCCAAACGTGGCACACACATATTCACTAATTAGGCTTTAGGAGGATACGGAGGACGACGAAGGATACGGATACGAAGAATACAAGGATAAGGATTCACGGAGACGGAGGACGACGAAGGCGGCGCATCAGCGTGACGGGGGACTAGGAAGTTCCGAACTCATCATAAGGCCATACAGACATCCAAGTAGCTCGTCCAATCCGTGAGTTAGAACAGGGGGCACGAGGTTGATAAAATATTCTCAAAATTATATCCAAGAAAGGACGTAAAGGTTGGACTTGTGGTTAGAAAAGGGGCATGAGGTCGATAAAATATCCTCAAAATTACATCCAGAAAAGGACGTAAAGGTTTGACAGGTGGTTGGAAAAGGGGCATAAGGTTAGTATAATATCCCCTTAGGTACAGATAGAAGAGGAAGTAGAGGTTGGAAAAGGGGCATGAGGTTGATACAATATCCTAAAAATTACATCCGAAGAAGAAGTAGGTAGAGCCTATGGTTCTACAAGTATCAAGCGGCACCATTAGCTCATGCTGGACCTGTTCCTAAAACCAGGAAGGATACGCACGCATTCCCACTTGCCAGGATTCTGCACACTCGGAGAAATGAGGGAAACTTTATCCAAATAGCGACAATTTTTGCCCTTGTGTGGACCATCTTGAATCAGTTTGACCGATAAAATTGGATGCCAGTGCTACAAGCAGGAAGTGTGTCACTATTTGGACAGTATAACACATTCATTTTTCTGAATGCAGCAGACATTCAGAAGGCAAGACAATATGGGAACCGGTAGCCGAAGTCCAGAAAGTTAAAGAGATAAGAACGGACTGGAATTTGAAGGATCTGTATTGAGGACACAGTGACTATGAGACTGAGACAGCGAGCGAGCAGTGGAAGAGAAATAAGCGAAACTTTGTCAAAATAGCGATGCACTTTCTGCCCTTAGCGGGTCACTCTGACCCAGTTCGGCGTATCATTGGCGAAAGTGTGTCACTATTTTCACGATAAGACCAAAGCATTTTGTGAGCGAGCAATGTAAGCTCACCTGTCTTCAAAGCTTCCTCCTTCTCGGCAGGAGAGACTGTAGCAAGCACAGTGAGACACACAGCCCTTTAATATATTGCATAGAAAAACCCTATAGCTTTCACATTAATGCTGTGTTTTGTTTCAAGTATCATGTAATAGAAACATAATAAAAACCTCCCTTCCTAGAAGCGAAGATCAGGTCTCTAGCAACTGCTCTCTTTCATTACAAGTTCTTGAATATATTCTTTTCACCAATTGATTCAAATATATTTTCATTTATTACAATGTCTCGAATTGACCTTATTATAGTTACCCGTTATTTTATGAACAAATCTTACTCGTCCTAAACATCGCATGTAATTTCATAACTCACGTATAAATGTAGCCAATGCCGGCGCCTACAAGTTTTAAACGCCTATACAGATACTATGTCATGCATGAGTAACAGTAAGAAATATTCATAACATTCATTGTTTTCGGTATATACTACACGAATTATTTTCGCCGCGAGACATCCTATGTTCGGTCAGTTATACTACAATTGTCTCGGGTCGGTTTTATGAGAAAAAACAAGGAAACGAAATTATAGTGCAGAAAAAGTCAATCGAATTAGAGAATGAAACCAGTATAAAGAATAAAAAGGATGAAGAAATATTAAAGGATAAGAGTAAATACCTAATTCAAGATCTGTGAATCTTAATAATACGCTTACTGAATAAAGTTTTGCTTATGCATCTCGGTAAATAAAGTCCAGATAATAAAATCTTTCTCGTCGTGCTTGGTGGATGAACTCATCGTTACTAAGCTGGCAACTAGCGGGACTCGTCTCCCAGATATTACAAATATCGGCTCAAAGTTACAAAAACAACTCAATTTCTAGCATTCAAAAATGTATTGTAAAGCTCAGCAACTGCAGAGTGAATTTTATTTAATTTTTATCAGAAATGCATCTAAATTGACCAATTAGCAATAATTAAATTCCACATGATTTAAAATATCTAAATACTTGCTTTGCTGAAGGCTTTTACAACGTGTTCGAGAAGAATTTGTAACTGGATAATATCGAAAATATATCGATAAAATCAAGCAGTAATGAATAGAATACCTATATACCTTAGAAACTTTTAATTTCTTAACGAGTATGACGTGCTATCTCCTATAAATGTAAGGAGCTGTTGCAAAGCTCATTAAGAATCTGTCGTCAGCAATCTTGGCCTATTATCCTCTGTTCTCATGCTGGTAATTATGTGCTTAATTATACGCTCTTAGTTAGTCCATAAATATTATACCGGTCAGGCCTCAAAAATTGTGTGGTTCTTCTAAGTCTGCCACTTTCTTTTCACGAGCTGAATTGAGAACAAAAAATAGGATATTTTTAGCGGAAAACTTGAGCCGTTGTATCACCGGCAGCAGAATCGTACCTATATATCATATATATACTGATGGTAATATGAACATAGCCTGATAACAGTACAATTAAAATTATCAGAGAATCTTCATATGAATCCCAAACATGATTGTCAGAAAAAGCAACTGAGAGCAGGTTTACAACTTCATACAGCTGAAAGTGTTCAAAAACGATCCCGATATCTAAATAAACATTAAAATGCCACACATATTTTGATGGTACGATTTAAAACTGGGCGAGACATTTCAAGTAATATTAATATATATACGAGGTATATCATAAAAATAGGATAAATGCGATGGATGCAAGTCAATGTACACCGCCAGGAAAATACCTTAACTGAAAACAAAGTCCATATCAAATTGGAGTCCACAAAAGTGTCAGGTAATTAACTGCAATAATGAAGCACCACGAGGAAATAAACTAAACTCTTCCCTGTAAACCAAACTTTGGGTCTCGATCACAAAAATCATAAGCATATCTAGAAATACAAGTACTCAAAAATAACTTAACGTACTTGAGAGAAACTGCGCTCATCCATTCAGCAACCAAGAAGAACGACGCATACCATCTTCATACTAGCGGGCAGCCGTGCTAACTCCCTCATTAAATTATGGCAGCTTCGCTTACACTCTCATTAAACAATAAATATGCGTTCGTCCTCTCATTAAGTAATGGGAGATGCGTTAACCCTCGCATTAACTACGGGCCAAGGATAAACCTCCCCACTCTCTCATTAACCAAGGGTATACCTGCTTACCAGCTCTCATTAACCAAGAGTAGACCTGCTTACCCTCTCATTAACCGCGGGTAGACTGCTTAACCTCTCATTAACCGCGGGTAGACCTGCTTACCCCCTCATTAACCGAGGGTAAATGAGCTTACCCCCTCATTAACCGAGGGTAAATGAGCTTACCCCCTCATTAACCGAGGGTAAATGAGCTTACCCTCTCATTAACCTGTCTCTTATACACATCTAGATGTGTATAAGAGACAGACAGGATTCTGCACACTCGGAGAAATGAGGGAAACTTTATCCAAATAGCGACAATTTTTGCCCTTGTGTGGACCATCTTGAATCAGTTTGACCGATAAAATTGGATGCCAGTGCTACAAGCAGGAAGTGTGTCACTATTTGGACAGTATAACAC